TATTTTTCAAATGCACGAACAGGTAGCACAATTTGAGCCAAGGACAGCAAAAGAATTTCCAGCAAACGTTTAAATATGCCTGAACATTTTTTGCACTAAAAAATGCAAGCACTTTTAATTGATAGCAATTTTTGTAATAGTATTTGACATTTATTTATAAGAAATATTGTTTTAGATTTTGAAAACTGCCGAATGCAAGTGGGTCAATTGAATTTGTAAAAATCGCATAGGAAGGCGATTGAAAATAGAGAGAAAAGAGACCAAATATTCTTGGCTTCCCTCTCTCTCTCTCTCTTTCACTTACATCTCTAACAATTATTTTACCTCTCTTGCATTTAAATAACGTCATTTCACACGAACTTTAATATTTTAAACAAAATATTAACGAAAAAAATCAAAACTTTGTCAGACCCAATTCAAATCGAATCGCCCATGAAATTATCTCAAAAGGGCGCTACGATTGTAAAGAACAGTGTTTCTTTTGTCGAATTTTGATCAGCGTATCCTAGAGATCCGATATAATATGTGTGTTAATGTTCGCCAGGTCTGAGATTGTCTGAGATTGTGTGTGAGTTAATTTACAAAGTTAATTTTTACTGTTGAATTTTCCTACTTGGTAGGTCGGCGGTTCTGAATCTTTTCAGAAAGAACACTTTATGAAAGGACTAAAAAACGTATGCACATGCAAAAGCTTACAATCGTGTCAAGTAAGGATGTGTGTGGGTGTGTGTGTGGCGGGTGTGCGGCAATTTAAGAACTTAACCTGCTTTCAATCTGAGGCAAATGGGGTTATTAAAAGGCGCTGGCAGGCGTATAGGTTTGAGCATAATGCTCATTAGTAGAACAAAGGATCTGGGCATGAAAGACAATTTAATTGCCATAAATACGCGTCCTTTTATGTTTCGCTTTCGCTTCCGGACCTCGGTCTGAAGGTGAGCGTCATCATCGTCATCGCTCTTGACTTGGCTCAAGCGGCTAAATCTTTGCGTTTGCCTTATCGCAGTCCTTCCGCCCGTGAACCACACAATGGGGCACGAGCACAAAACAAAGGCCATCGCAGCCAGGGGCGATATGTAGGCGCCTTTCCGCCTAGATGTAGCATTGTTTCCTTGAATGGCGAGGCCTGTGCTTTGTCTAGTAGTTAACTATTTCATCTGAAGCCGTCTGCAGTTTGTCTTCCCAATCTTGACATATCGAACGTACTTTGTTCCCCAGGAAATTCGGAATCGAGCGACAAATATTTAATTATATTTTCTGATTCGATTTTAGACCATGTCTTGGCTTAAAAAATCGTATTATGTTGAGCCAAAGTCTTGAAAATGGTGAAATACGTTGTAGAGCACTTTTTATATAAGATGTACGCACATACATATATCTGTCAATATATATCTGGTCAATCTATCATGTTTTCTTCTTTTATAAAAAACCACATTGCCTGCTAAAACTGTGAATATTTGCTAAGAAACCCTTCTTATAAGCCTTTATCTTGGCTAAAATCTGCAATTTGAGCTTAACTCCCTGATGGAATGATAGAATGTGACAGCCAAAAGCATTATAGGGGCCAGCAGCAGCTGTGCCTACAGCAGTAGGGCAAGCCTTTATTACAAGGCAGATCAAGCAAAACATTCTAACACAATCCCGAAACAAGTTGCATACTGTGCGGCGCTGTTGGCGCGAGCTGAATCTGAATGTGAATGTGAATGTGAATGTGAACACCCAACAGTAGCAGCTGCTTTGAGCATGTGTATGTGTGTGTGTGTGCGTTGCCCGTACTTGTTTCATATTAATGCGCCCCCCTCCGCTTTGTGAGCTTTTTCCGCCGCTTGGCTGTGTCTATTTTTGGAGTTGCTTCAAGTTGAGTCGAGTAGTTTAGTTGTTGTTGTTGTTGTTGTTGTTGTTGTTTGTTTTTGCCGTCGTTGTTGTTTGGCGTGCTTTGTGCCTACTGTTCATTGGATTTTGCTGCTTTCTATGGTACTTCGCGTAACGGTAACTACCGTACGCTTTAAATCGCTATTCTGTGTGTCAGGGCCTGCTCTACATCTCAGTCCCTGCCCGTTCGCCATGAACCGCCCACCCTCTTCCACCCCCTAGGCCATAGCTCTTAGCTAGAATTTGTATGCGTGCTGCGCCAGCTCCATATATCGATTTTCACCCTCTTGTTGTTGTTGTTGTTGTTGTTGCTGTTGTTGTTGTTGTTTTCATGCCCAAATGCGCTTTGATCTAAGCGTTGAAAGCAAAATAAATCTCCCGGTTCGACGGGCCTAAAACAACCGTAAATCCATTTAATAACCTTTTTATAAAGCAATTTATCAAGCCGTTCATTTTTCACAAAAAATCTTTCGGTAAATATACTTTTATACCTATTTTTATAATATATATCAGGCTTTCCGAATAGTCAAAATGTTAACCCGAGATTAAAATATAAATATTAAATAAACAAAATCTAGATAACAAAAAAACGACAAAAGCGTTTTTCTAAATTAAAAAAAAAATTAATGTCTAACGGGAAAATAAGGGGGAATGAACCAGAATGAAAAACAAATACCCTGCAAGAGGTTCTAGTCGGGAGCTCCCGACTAGGGGATAGCCTGAAACCTCTTCTTCCAACATCAAATGCATATATATACTATTTTAGAAGCTATATGTCAAGTTTGGTGACTCTAGCTCTTATTATTTACCAAAATTGCCCAAAAAACAGGATTTCGATATCGATTTTTATCGATTAATTCGAGACCGGGCAAGTTATCGATTATCGGAAACAAACTCGATCTGCGCAGGCACAGACGGACATGGCTAGATCGACTCGGCTATTAATGCTAATCAAGAATATATATATTTTATTTTTATTATTTTTTTTATATTTTGCACAAATACAATATACCCTGTCTAGCCATTTTCAATGGGTTCAGGGTATAAAAAGTATGCTGCACAATTTCCTTAATGATTTGATAATAGGCTAAAAAGAATATGATTGTATATGGATAGACATATTTTGCCAGTCATATGACATATAACTGTGCTATAAAGTTGACTCAGATAGTTGTTAACGGAAAATAGCTGCATATGGTTGAATGTGGATGCTATTTAACTGGATTCCCTGCTGCTATCAATAGGCTGATTCATGCAACACATGGCAGCTGTGCGTCAGTTCTCGCAAGTGGGTCAAGCTATGCAACTTTGACCCGATTCACGGACGTCAGTGTATTGTACATATATACAAATCTATGTACATGTATATACAGAGTATATAGGAAAGTGGAGCGCTCTTCGATTTTGTATCGCATATCGAGCCCAAACGGGCTAGCGTTTGGGTAGCGCCAGGATGTCTAAACTCCTTTATTATTATGGATGGATATTGCTGGTATGACATCACAAGCTCTAACAAGCCAGCCAGCCACCCCCTGGGCGGGGGAGGGGGCCCGGCTAACGCACGGGGGTTGCAAGAGCTGCTAGAACTCAAAGATGGAGGCCTGAAACTGTGTTCGGGTGGATGCTGCAGAATGCTGCAGAATGGAGCCTAGTAAAAAGGCAGACAAAGCAAAAGCAAACAAATCACGTGCAACCCAAATGTTGTAACGGTGGAAACGACGTCAAATGACGGCAACTGGAAACGCTTTAAAATAATCTTTGTTGTGTTTTTTTCTTCTTCTTTTTGTTTTTATTTGACCGTATCCACACACCTTTTGGTATTAGAAAATATTTCTTTTTTATGTATTTTTGGAATATTCTTTGCTTGTCACGCGGAATAAAAATCAATTTTTACAAACGTCGCGACGTGTTTTTGTTTTTAATGGTTTCTTTGGCGTTTTTTTTTTTTTCTTTGGTGTGCTTTGCTACTTTCGTGCTTTTGACCACTGAACACCAATCAGACGGAAAACAAAAACTTGGACCGAGAGCAAATAAGTTTTTTATGTAAAAATTGCCGAAAATCACAAAGCGTTGGCAGCAAAACGTTTGGGGAAACCGCAAAAACAATCACAAAACTATTTGCACGCTTTTGTTTGTGTTTGTGTTAGTGTTAGTGTTGAGCGCCGTGAAAAATAATTTAACGGAAAATTGGTCAACCGAGCGTAAGCGTACACGACTCATAACTGCAGGCGACTGCGAGTTGCGAAAGTGTGAAAGTGAGAAAGCTCTCGATAGTGCACGAGAGCGTAAGCAATAGACTACGAAAGAGAGCGACAGAGAGCGAGAGATAATAATAAGGAGATTGCGCACTGCTCAGAGTGCTCTTTTGACTCCTGCTCAAATATGAGCTTTTTACATGAGCGTAGTAAACTTGTGTGAGTGGGGGTTGCTGCAACAAACGAAACGGCACTATTTTTAATATAACCGCAGGCTACGGCACTGTATTTGACTTTGTTATTGTTGGGTGCTTCAAGAGAGGATGCGCACTGCAATTGTTGCAGTGGGAATACACCCCCACGCTGACTCTCAGTGCTTGCGCGAGAGAAATCAGGAGAGCAATCAATGAGGTTGCTAAACATTATCGGCATTACTTAATTACATATATAAAATTTAATAAATAATTCGTTTTGCTAAAATGAAGTAAATATTAATTTCCACAATTTAAAGTGGAGCATTGAATTACCTCGAAGTTCCTTGTGTATGCTTCTACAGTATATAACTGTATATGAATTTCCCTTTAATATTCCAACAAGTCGTTTTTGCACGCGAACTCCGAACTCTGCTAATGATAGTTTTAAAATTGTTAGTTAGTTTTGTAGCGGTGTTATTAGCAGAAGCGCACATTGTACGCCCTAAAGTGGCCAAAACGATGTAACTACTTAAAAGTCAAGTAGATAATGTTAATTGAAATAAAACTTTAAGTAAAATTCCTCGCACAATTTTCACGGTCAAACAAAAATTTCGCGCTTTAATTACTCGTTACACTACACTGTTTTCGATAGGTTGTTCATAAATTGACATCGATAGGCAACAATTTGATAGCAGCGTTATTTTCTGTAATTTAACATAACAAATGCGCAGTTAGCGGCAGCAACAACTCGCGGTTAATGAAATGCAAATGCAAAATATCAAGAAGAAGAAGACACAATAATACCATTGCACGCATTGCTGTTTAGTAAAAAATGTCCTCAACATCGGCGGCTGCATCAAATGCAGCGCCAGCAAAAACCGAAGTACGCTACGTAACGGAGGTGCCCAGCAGTCTAAAGCAATTGGCCCGGCTGGTTGTGCGCGGCTTCTACTCGCAGGAAGACGCGCTGATCATAGATATGCTGGTGCGGAATCCGTGCATGAAAGAGGACGACATTGGTGAGCTGCTGCGCTTCGAGAAGAAGCAGCTGCGAGCGCGGATCACGACGCTGCGCACCGACAAGTTCATACAAATACGTTTGAAAATGGAAACGGGTCCGGATGGCAAGGCGCAGAAGGTCAACTATTACTTTATTAATTACAAGACATTCGTCAACGTGGTCAAGTACAAGCTGGACTTGATGCGGAAACGCATGGAAACGGAGGAGAGGGATGCGACCAGTCGCGCCAGCTTCAAGTGCTCCACGTGCTCCAAAACATTCACAGATCTCGAGGCAGATCAGCTGTTCGATATGGCGACGTGCGAGTTCCGCTGCACGTACTGCGGCAGCTCCGTGGAGGAGGACAGTGCGGCAATGCCAAAGAAGGATTCGCGCCTGATGTTGGCGCACTTCAATGAGCAGCTGCAGCCGCTGTACGATCTGCTGCGTGAAGTGGAGGGCATCAAGCTGGCGCCAGAGGTGCTGGAACCAGAGCCGGTAGATATTGACACGATACGTGGCATTACCAAACCGAACGCTCTGCGGCCGGACAGCCTGCAATGGTCGGGCGAAGCGACGCGCAACCAAGGCTTTGCCGTCGAAGAGACGCGCGTAGATGTGACCATTGGTGGCGATGACAGCACCGAGGCGATCGTTGAGCGCAAGTCGCGACCCATTTGGATGACGGAAAGCACTGTGATAACCGATACGGAGACTGGAGATGGCAGCGCCCACACTGACAGCGCCCAATCGTCGGGCACATCCGGGCATCGCAATAAGAAGGAGAACGAGGATATTATGTCGGTGCTGTTGCAGCACGAGAAGCAGCCGGGCCAGCGGGAGGCCCACTTGAAGGGTTTGCGCAAGGGCTCCTCGAACGCAAACTCTAGTGATTCCAGCGACGATGAGAACGACATTGACAACACAAAGATACGTGAGTGCGCTTTGTATTTTTATGCAATTCCGTTATTTAATTTATTGTTGTTTATTAATTTTAGCGAATGTCAATTTCGAGAACTACATCAACTCGGAGTCGGATGAGGAGGATGCCGATGTGCCGACTGTGCTGGTGGCAGGGCGTCCACATCCTTTGGATCAACTGGACGATAAGCTAATTGCACAAATGACACCCCAGGAGAAGGAGAACTATATACACGTCTATCAGCAGCATTATAGCCATATATACGACTGATTCTCCTAACAATTAGGCATTAAGTTTATAGTCTCATTGCTAGCTTAAGATGCATACATGTATATTAAATTGTCAGCCATCGTTTAAGCGATGGCCAGCACATGATATTTGGCAACAACATAGGCACATAAATACAATTGTTCGAAATCCAATTTTTGTCAAACACCACGTTGGCGCCAAAATCGCTGTCCCTGAAAAAGCGCGCAGAGGTATCCGAAGCCAATAGGCGCCGATCAGCTGTTCCCGCTGCTAACATCAACATGACACTGTTAGTGGACATTTGAATAACATGAAGTTGGCTGCGTGTGCAAATTGAATGCATGTTACGTGAGAAGGTTCATGTCAAATTACCGCTTTTGCTAAAACAGCTGTTCTCCGCATTTTTGTTTTTATGTTTTGTACATTCGTGCTCGAAGCATGGTCGCCGCTGCTGTTGTGGGCGTCTATTTAGAATATACGTCAACTTGTGTGCGCTAGATAAGCGGCCAGTGCAAACAGTAATTAAGATATGCCCGTATATAACCAATACACGCCGTGCAATCACATCGTCGCCGCTAGTTGTCATTCTAATAAGATTCCTGCCAGATACGGATCGAATGTCGTGTTGCTTCAAAAGAATTGCATACATAAATATTTAGCGTAGCATGAAATATGCTACATTTACGGACAAACGTGTAATGTTGACATCGGCAAATTTATTTGGAATGCAAGAAACGTGATCGCGACGCGCACACACTCACACAAGAAAATCGATCATACATGTGTATAAAACTCAATATATGAAAATTGTTTGATTTATGCTTGCCTTAGCTTATTCCTTTAATGTAATCAATCAACTAACTAGATTTTTAAATATAATCAACAATTTTATTGAAGCGTGTTAAATTAATCAATCGAAGAGTATATTGCATTCGGCCGCAAGCGTCGCCAATTGGGAATTTCCCAAATAAAAACGATCCAATTAGAATTGATGTATTGCTAATAGCCGCGAATTGGACTAACAAAGCACAGCCGCAAAATGAAGGCCACCATCAATAAGGATTTGCTGCCCATGAAGGCGCATTACTTTCTCTATAATGCCGGTAAAGTTCCCTCAAATCAACTAATATCATTTTACTAAGCGCCTTGTAATTGTTTACACCATCTGATTAGACTGTAACACCAGATCTATGATAAATACTTTTCGTTTATAATAAGTACATTACTTTGTCTAGTCACATAAAAAAGAAACTGATAAGACATCTATTCTGGCTATCAACTAGATAGTCAATAAAAACAAGTGTGCCCGATAAGCATAATTGGTAAATAGTAATTGTCCATTGAATTTATTCAATTTGATCCCAGAAGCTTACACTATACGACAAAAGTATGTGTACGGTAATTGTTTCACACAAAATATGTTAGGTAGTTTAAAAAAGTTTAATGTGTAAAGAGGAACTTTGGGGGCGATGACTGTTTCCCCGTGCTGCTTAGCATTAACAAAATATAAATTATAATATTGATAAGCCACATTTCGAGATGGTCACGAGTCACTTTTCAGCAATAAAACACGCAACAGTCACGGTAAAAAATATTACCACGCTCGGCCTTTTGTTGTACCATATAATTTATATTTGCTTTAACTTGATGATCTTTTGCATATTTTTATTCTGAAATATTCAGATACGTTGTTCCCATTGGGAAGGAAACATTTAAATATTTATTTTTAATTCCCATAAGATCACTTTTAGCTTATTCTTTCGTTCCCCAAATTGTCGTGTTATCGTGCTCGACACGAATACATGAACACGAACACGAACAAGCACGAAACTTAACTCAATGAATATGCTTCAATGAAGTCTGAAAGTTAACCGGGCTAGGTCCAAAGTTGGCATGTCAGTCCCAACGGTGCCCCGCCCTTGATGACCGCCCCTCGAGCTGATATGAGCAATTAAAGTGGAATTTTTACTTTTAAAGTAATTAAAAGTGTTATAGTACAGTCTCAACTTGGGAACTGAATGCACAAAATACTTACAGACACATGCAAATATAAAATAGTACGTGATGATATATGATGCCCCTCGTTGTTTTTGTTGTTGTTGTTGTACACTTTGCTTATCAGTCATAAACACCCACATTTGGACAGTTCTCGCTAATCATTGCCGGGTTGTCTCTGATACCCTAGAAAGCGAATACACAATAATTGGGTATTTGATATACATACATAGACTGGCTTACAATCTTTGCAAACACCGTGCACTGATCTACATATTTGATGTTCTATTGCAGGCACCGCACCCGTTGTACCCTTTATGCCCCCGCTGGCGCTGCAGCTGGGCTACTCGCCGGTCGTGGTGGGCACCATGTACACGATACTTCCGATTGTTGGCTTGCTGGCAAAGCCGATCTTTGGTTACATAGCTGATCGGTAAGTAGGCAATCAAAAATCACCTTTCTATGCGATTCTCATGAGTTCAACTAACGATAATACAAGAGTGTGGGAATGAAAAGGGGACAGAATGAGTGAGAAAGGCGCAAGTCTTGAATGGCTTAAAAAACACCAATCTTTTGCTCTCTACCAATAGCTATCATCGCCATCGCTTCCTCTTCCTGGCTAGCCAGCTACTCATCGCCGTGTCCTTTTTCATGATCTTGTTTGTGCCGGCCGCCGAAAAGCCACAATTCCATTGTCACGCCGGGGTGTCCAACATACGCTACTGTTCCAACTATCCCAAGGATGCAAAACAGAATCTGGAGACATACTACGGCAATCGGACCTTAAGCTGCAACATGTATTGCCAAATGGCGCCGGATATGTGGGATATTGTATGCCAGTTTTGGCGTCCAGTCAATGCTTCTCGAAACCAGGCAAGCAACTGCGAGGCAAGCCGTTCAAAGGCTTGGATCAACTTTACCACCTACATCAGCGCCAGGGATATTATCGAGGAAGAGTCGCTGGACGGCGGCAAGTGCCTCAATTTTCTAATACCGCACGATCAGGGCATACTGGAGTCGCAGAATGTGACACTCTATTGCCCCAAGGACAGGGTCATGTTCCAGCCCAGCTGTCAGATGGACTGCAACGAGCAATATCTCAAGGAACTGCTGCCCGAGAGCACAGTGATCAATATGGGCAGCGCCATCGCCATGCCAGAGTTCTGGTTCTTCTTTAGCATGCTGATCATCAGCTGGATCGGCATGGCCGTCGTGGTGAGCATTGGCGATGCCATATGCTTTGGCATACTCGGCGATCGGCATCATCTGTATGGCAAGCAACGCTTGTGCGGTTCGCTGGGCTGGGGTATCTTTGCACTGCTCGCCGGCCTGCTGGTGGATGCAATGACGCATGAGGGCAGCTCGGAGAAGAACTATACGATTATCTTTTGGATGACGCTGATCATAATGGGCTTTGATATGCTCGCCTCCACCAAGCTGAAGGTTTGTCTCCATTTCAAGGTTTCGCCAATAACTGATGAATCGTTTTTCTCTTGCACAGCACACACAGACTCACATGTCGGCCAACATACTTAAGGATGTGGGCCAAATGTTTCTATCGGTGCGCTGCGTCGTCTTCTTTCTGTGGTGCGTGGCTATCGGTCTGTGCACAGCGCTGATTTGGAACTTTCTGTTTATCTATTTGGATGAGCTGGCCGAGCACTACGACAATGGCACCGACTACATTACTACGCTGGAGGGACTGGTTATGAGCATCCAGTGCTTTGGTGGCGAGCTGCCCTTCTTCTTTATGTCCGGCTGGATCCTGAAGCGCATTGGGCATGTAAATGCCATGAGCCTGGTGCTCTTTGGCTTTGGTGTACGCTTCCTTTTGTACTCTATGCTGCAGAATCCCTGGTATATACTGCCCATTGAGCTGCTCAATGGCCTCACCTTTGGACTCTTCTATGCGACAATGGCCTCCTATGCCAGCATCGTTGCACCGCCTGGCACCGAGGCCACCATGCAGGTGAGAGATTCTCTGATCCCCTTAAAGACAACTGTAAATATTTCATCCATCTTTTCCAGAGTCTTGTGGGCGCCATCTTCGAGGGTGTCGGCGTCTCCATAGGCAGCCAAATTGGCGGCCAGCTCTTTAACGCTGTCAACGGACGAACCACCTTTGAGATCTTTAGCATTGGCGCCTTCATAGTGTTTATTATCCATGTCTGTGTCCAAATGTATCTGAAACGCAAAGGTCCGGATGACAACGGTAAGGGTAGGTCCTCCACAGCCTCCGCTTCCGCTTCTGCTCCCGCTTCCGCCTCTCCCGACTGCCTGCCTAGTACTAAAAACAATGATGAGTTTACCGATGTCGATTTGAGCTAAGGTTACATATTTCTTGGCAAATTCCATAGTACAATAGAAGGTCAATTACAATGCCCAAAGAATTTGAAAGAGTTCATGGCAATTATTTACTTACAAAGACGGAAAATACCTCGTTTTATAGGAATTTATAATATATGTACCATAATGATATGGCACGAGTTGTCATTAACATATTATCATCAGCTATGCCACAAAAGTTTCTATCTAAGACAATAACTGAAAGGTTTGCAGTTATTTAGTTAGAGAATACTTGATATTAATCCAGTTTTTTTTAAATTTTTGATCACAAATCTTACAAATCTATTAACAATTCTGTTTACGTTTATGTCAGACAAAAGTTTTTTGAACATTTTATTTCATAGCTTTAAGAAAGTCTGAACATTTTTTTCCTTATATCTTTTCATTTGGTATACGATACAAATATGTATATACACAAAATATTCTTTAGATTCACAATAAATGCGAGAGATATCGCATAAAGCTTATATAATAATGTTAATAAACGAATTTCCCGTATACATACGGCTTGCTGGTAGATTGTATAAAGGAAAAGCATCAAAAGTTTTTAAATATATGTCGGAACAGAGAAATCACTTTCTTTGCAATTAGGCATACTGGCAGCACAGCAAGTCCCGAGTGTCGTTATAGTCACAAAATAATTATATTTTTAGGAGCGAGCACGTCTGTTCTCTATGACTTCCACTTTTAGAATGAATAATTTTCATCGTCCTCGAGCATACTACTCATGTTCTTGTCATTCTATATTCTTCTCTGACTTTTAGTACTGTTAGTGAACATTCAACACTATAGCAAACTGGACGTTATACAACACACTCGGGCCATGCTCGGCAGAGACTATCTTTTTTGTCTCACACCATGCTTTCAGTAGCAACCCTAATACAAGTAGGACAGTTATGTTAAATAGCAGTACCTTCTGTCAAATTCTCTGATTCTTACTAACACTTAATCGTTAGCATTCAAAATAATACTCACAATAATTTATTGGATACACGACACGGCCTTCCTGACATTTCACACGTCCTCGTGTGTACATTTCGCTTAGATCATGCCATAGTCAAAATTGTTGGGTAAAATTTATTAGTCATTACTTTACTTTAAGAATAGCTTTACAAACAGCAGTATCATCGGTCATTGTAGGTTTTATTTTTTTATTTTTTTTTTTTTTTTTGTTGTTGTTCTGTCATCACACGTCTATAGGCTCTTGCTGCCCAGCAACGATAACATGGAGCGGATCCATACAGGTCTTTCAACCTCTGACCCCCGCCATAATATCACCCGCTTCAGCACGCCATGATCGAGCACTTGTGCACGGCGTGAGTATTATGGTGCGGTCTTAGCCATCGTGTATGAGCCCAACCGCACTCTCTCTTAGTGCCACAGTGTCTTGAGCAATGTCCTCAACATTGTCACACTCATCATCTCTCAAATCTATCAACTCCTCCGATACATTGTTGCTTGGAAAAGCTCGCAAATACTCATGTGCATACTTAAACGTGCGCTTACTCGTCAATGACTTTAATAAATATCTGTCTCCATCAAGTATTTCGATTATCTCAAAAGGTCCCTTAAACTTGGGATCTAACTTCGTTTGATTTCGTTCTTCCCTCTTGAGTAGGACATGATCACCAAGCTTATATTTTACAATTTTTGTTTTATTTTTATCAAACCTAGCCTTATCATATTTAGCGTTATTCACCATGTTATCTTTCGCTTGTGCTCTTATTAAATCTTTATCAATTGTTTTTTCATCTGATATTGTTATCATTCCTAACGGCCTTGCCTCTTTACCGATTAGCAATTCTAACGGACTATATTTCGTTACACGATTTGTCGTGCAATTTATTGCCAGCTGTATGTCTTTTAAAGCGTCTTGCCAGGATCGCTGACTACTCTCAACCGCTGTGAGCATGCTCTTCAAGGTGCTCATGGCACGCTCTACTTGGCCGTTTGCTCGACTGGCGCCCGTCGCAATCAGGTGTAAACCTATCTTCTGCGAAGAACAAAATTCCCTAAACCTTGTGCTAGCAAAACATCTACCCTGATCAGCTATGATGCGTGCCGGCACTCCGAATAGTGCAACAGTTTCTTTGACTGCCTTAATGCAGTTTTCCGTATTAAGGTTCAGCGTATGTTGAAGGTGAACAAATTTTGTGAATGCATCAACTTGAACTATGATGTACTCTTTTAAGTCGTTTTTGCCACTTAATTTTCCGGTTATATCAATATGCACAGTGTGCCAGGGTATGTCATCTTTAGGAATCGGGTGCATTTCTATTTGTGGCTTACCAGATGGTGGTTTTGACACTCTACAGGTAATGCAATTTTCTACAAACTTTTTCACATACTTAGACATCTTCTCGAACCAGTAGTTGGCATACATTTTGTCTAGAGTTTTCTTCCACCCTAAATGCATTATGGCTTCGTGAACATTGTTAATGACTGACCATCTAAAGGCTCTAGGTATTACAGGCAAACATTTTGTGCTGCCATTTCTTTGAATCCTTCGATATAATACTCCTGCTCTCAATTCGTACGACGCTGAGATAGCTTCTCCCATCTTATGGTTTCGCAATTTTAAGGTTATGGAAGCAATGTCAGAATCTCGTTGCTGTTCGGCTAGAAGCCAATCGTCGGTTATCTCAGCTAGGTTTATGTGCATTTCAACCGTTTTCGCTGAGGATTTATAATCAGTAGGCAACGGATTGCGCGAGAAAAAATCAGCATGTAACATGCGTTCTCCCTTCCTGTATTCAATGCTGAAATCAAATGATTGCAGATATGCCCACCATCTATGTACCCTTGGGGTAAGGTTAATTTTTTTGATACTTGCTTTCAGGGAGTTGCAATCTGTATGCACAATAAATTTTTGACCATGTAAATAATGGCGGAAGTGTCTTACTGCGTTGTAAACTGCGAGGGTCTCAAGCTCGTATGAATGATATTTTGCTTCAGCCATTGTCGTACATTTGCTGTAATATTCAATGACTCTGGGTCTATTTTCTATCTTGTGCATTAAAATAGCACCATATCCAATAGAACTTGCGTCTGTATGTAATTCCATTGGCTTTAGTGGATCGAAAATTGTCAAAACGGAGTCATTAGTCAAAATTGATACGATTTTTTTGACGAATTTCCTCATATTCCGGCTTCCAGACAAATTTATTATTTTTGGAGGTGAGATTATATAAAGCTTTCATCTGCTCAGAAAATTTTGGTACGAATTGCCTAAAATACGAGGCTAGGCCTATGAATTGTCGCACCTGCGTTACTGACTGCGGTGACGGCAATTCGGCCAACGCTTGTATCTTGCGTGGATTTGGTCGAATTTGACCCGCTTCAACCAAGTATCCTAAATATTCTATGCTTGTTTTCAAGAACGAGCATTTTGTAATGTTAAATGAGAATCCAGCTCTAGACAAGTTTTCCAAGACCGTTTGTAGCCTTTCAAGTGCCTCTTCCTTTGTCTTCGCTAGAATTAACACGTCATCTATATAGACGATGGCATACGTTTGAGCCAAATCACCCAATGCTCTCACGATTGCGCGCTGGAAAATCGAGGAAGCATTTTTTTAATCCAAAAGGCATGGCCAAAAATTCATACTGTCCTTCTGGCGTGACAAAAGCAGTGCGCTCGATAGAGTCTGGGTGTATTGGAACTTGGTAAAAACCACTTGCCATGTCTAAACTGGAGAAATATTTGCCTTCACTCAGTCTATTAATTTGATCAGAAATCAAAGGCAGCGGATATTTGTCAGCGACCGTATTAGCATTCAGTTCCCGATAATCGACACATAGTCGATCGGTTCCATTTTTCTTTCTTACCATCAGCATTGGGCTTGCAAATGGAGAGCAACTAGGACGTATAACGTTTGCGTCTAACAATTCTTTTACTTTATTTCGCACGACTTCTTTTTCTTCTATGCTTAACCTATACGGACGCCTTTGTACAGTTTTATTTGGGTCAAGCAGGCGGATTTCAAGTTCACCCGTAGTCACTCGCGTTTGAGGAATACCCTCAATAAATTTATCAGCATAGTTTTGCAATAATTCTAGCAGACGATTCTTATCAGTGTTGCTTAATGCTCTATCGTTATTCAGATGCTCTACGTAACTTATATCTGGCACTTTTATTAGTACATCAACAGTTTTGGTTTTGTACATTTCAAATTTGTCGGCCTCGATGGAGACTCCAAAGCCTAATCCGAGTATATCACGGCCTATCAATACATCGTATTTCAAAAACTTATCCATTATTACATGAAATAATATTTCTAAGGAGTACTGATCAATTTTAACAGTAGCCAAGATTTGCATAGTGCTATACACAGGATTTTCTCCAATACCCCTCAAAACTATCAAATTATTAATTCTTTTTCCGGAAAATTTCTCGGCACAACTCTCTCTGATGAGCGTACATTCCGCTCCCGAGTCAAAACAAAATGGAACGAGCTCACCAGATTGACGCAGGATTCCTTTTGGCTCGGACACACAACAGATGTTTATACGCTTGTCATGTGATCCAACACCGCTCGTAGAAACTCCTTTCGTACATGAAGACGCAATGTGGCCAGCATCGCCACATTTGAAGCAGGTAACGGCAGATCGAACTTTAGGTAATGCTGAGTTTTTTGACACGTTGCCTTCTTCATACTTCCTCTTGCGACATTCGACCATTTTGTGTCCGAGGTTTCCACAATGATGACATTTAATGCCATATGTTTTCGATCTCTTGCGATCTGGTTCCATTGGGATATTTGGCTGTAGACCTCCATTTGACCTTCCATAAGCATAGGCCTTCAGATGCTGTTGCATCTCGTCTTGACTTTTAATATTAGTCGTATATAACATACGTTGCAGACTTTTGTCGATTTTCGATGTATGTGCCAAAACAACTGAGACTGCAATTTCCTCCATGTTCGCTGTCTTCCATTTGGATAAAAGTGACGTCACAAGACGGCTCGCATATACGGAGAGGCATTCGCCATCATTCGGTCGGCCATTAAAAATGTTCATTAAAGTTGCCGCCGATGTTTCCATTCCCACGAAACGTTGCAAAAACAATTCCTTAAAATTTTGCCAGTTCATTCCAGTATAGCATATTTGAGAAAGCCAGGGCGAGGCGCTTCCTTCTAGGGAGCCGCTGAGGGTCATCACCAGTGTACTGCCCTCAATAGGATTATCGTCAAGTATTATGTCTACAGTTTTGCACCAGGCATTTGCATCTGCGCCTGCAATGTCCGGGTTGAACTTTGGCAACGAGATGCTCTTCTTTGTTGAGGATGCTGAATTTGACATCTGCATTGCTTTAATAATCTCAAGAATATTTCGATTTTGAGATTCCAAAAGCTGACGCCACGAATCGTCAGAATTGCCTCGTGGAGGGGCATCGCCTGATCCCACTTCTGATGTCGGAACAGAGAAATCACTTTCTTTGCAATTAGGCATACTGGCAGCACAGCAAGTCCCGAGTGTCGTTATAGTCACAAAATAATTATATTTTTAGGAGCGAGCACGTCTGTTCTCTATGACTTCCACTTTTAGAATGAATAATTTTCATCGTCCTCGAGCATACTACTCATGTTCTTGTCATTCTATATTCTTCTCTGACTTTTAGTACTGTTAGTGAACATTCAACACTATAGCAAACTGGACGTTATACAACACACTCGGGCCATGCTCGGCAGAGACTATCTTTTTTGTCTCACACCATGCTTTCAGTAGCAACCCTAATACAAGTAGGACAGTTATGTTAAATAGCAGTACCTTCTGTCAAATTCTCTGATTCTTACTAACACTTAATCGTTAGCATTCAAAATAATACTCACAATAATTTATTGGATACACGACATATATATATATTGTTTTTTATATATTTAAAGTACATTTGTCGAATTCTGCTCAATCACAGCCTTTGCTCATCAATGTTTCAGATGCATATTCAAAATGCCAATTTCTAAATACTTTGGTTGAAATTTTGTTTAATAACATTTCAATCAATAATCGAACTGAACACACAAAAATTGACAATAAAAGTTACAAACTTTTTTGTGCACACATTTCAAATGCATTTATGAAACCACAATTATATATATGCGTCAATTATTATTTCATTTAAGTAAAGGTATTCAGATATTTTTCTTACATTTAGAAAATAAAACACAAACGTTTCAACAACTGCAACACAACTAATGAATGTTTCAAATACTTTTAGGCACTGTCAAATATTTTGCACCGACAGATGCAATGCACATGCTGAATGAACAGGAATACACAAATAGTATTAGCTAAGCTGCTCCTCTGTGATCTGAAGTATTTGAATCCCGATCAGTGAGAATCAACACACAATCAACCAAGAAAACCAAAACCAAAACAACAAAAACAACAACAACAACAACCACATTATTGCTGCGCTCAGTTGAATGACAATTTAAAGAATTGCTTTATCGAATTGCATGTTGAATGTTCAATATTCAATCTCAATTGTATTTATAATAATTATATGTAATTGTACTTTAATTTAGTAATCACACACAAACAAACAAAAACACATATTTGTGCATGCTTTTAGCAAACATTAGCTTAGTTTATGCGCTGCATATCGTGAAATCTCTTTGACGCACATTTCAATTAAATTAACTGCCGTTGTTCAATCTCCATCATAAATATCTCCATTTGGCTATTAAACGCTGTCAACTTATCACGATGTGCTACCGCATACAATTTTATTGGCATGTTTATAAATATCTTGAAAACGTCAAAGTTTTAGCCGTTTTAGCGCTGTGAATGTTTAAATGTTATATTTTTGTACACTATTAGATACTTAAAATGAACAATTGGCATATCAAAATTGGCTTCTCTTGCATGTAGCTTCATTTCAAACATAAATATACTGTGAAATCTCGAAAGTATTTACCAAATTATATACAGAACATATATAAATAGTTAGCAACTTGCTTGTATAAGTTAATTATGGGCTTTAATCCATAGATAAACAATTAGTTCTAGTTCTAGATTCTTGTTAACGATTGCCTTACCCATGTTTGGGCTCGGCAACTTTGTAATTACTTATGATAGCTTAGACCTACATGTAGAACTACTGCAACTGGCCGCCTATGAGCGACTCCTCCTGCTGTTGCTTCTCGAGTTTGCGCTGGTAATCGCGCTGCTTGCAGGTGGCCACGTTGGCGGCTCGTTTCTGTAATCAGTAATCAGTAATCAGTAGTCGGTAATCAGAAAGATACGACATTAACTTAGTTATGATTAAACTTATGCATGAGTGCTCTTCTACTTTGTAAACTGTTCATTATTTTTTTTTATGGTTTTATGCAACAATAAAGTTACGTTCTTTTGGGTTACATTTAACATTGTGTCGCTTACCTTTAGAACCTTAGACCGTTGGTAAATGGACTGCATATCCTTTTTTATTTTCACCAGTCTCTCTTTGTAGCGCTTCACATCATTCATCTAAATGTATAGATTGTTCGGCAATAGTAAGCCAAACATATTTCATATGAGTATTAACATGCACTTAGATTGGCTAACAAAAATCAGCAACAAATTCATTTATATGTCTGCGATAAGATTTTATATGCCCTCATTTAAATACCAAGACATTGTTTATTGCTGATATTATGTGCCAGCGAGGTCTGTTCGGCAAATTGAAGAAATTCTTATGGCAGAAATGCGGGAACCTGTGGACCTAGTTCTTAAATTTCTATTGCAACGAGCGTCATTCAACCTGAGATTCATGACATTGAGGTTTGTTCTAGATTGATTCTCGAAAAGGAGTCTTAGTGCAACCATCATCAATATCTTCACTCCGAAATAGAGCATAGTTTTGCTGTTCCTAGCTAACGAACATGCAATTCCTATTCTCCATGAATGTCGACTCATTACTTGCTATAGGAGAAACCATCTGGGTAAGGAGTACGTGTGCCAGCTCATGTCATGACTTCTTCATAATGGAGATCGAGCCACTGTTGCTCATTTAGGGGTACGTGTGCCAGGCACAAGGGTCGTTCTCAATGCCGTCCACCTCTCCATTGTCAGATTCCCCGAAATTGTGCCCATCTGTATGCTTACCATATCAATTAATTTTGCTACCTCACTGCAGTCCAGCTTATATTTCTCCTTGGAGACGTCAATGTAGAACTTGTTTTGCTTGCCGCTACAGAAAGATTGAGTGTAAGCTATTTTCCACATATGACATGTTCAATCAAAACTCACATTAATTCCTTGAGCTGCGCGCGGACACGCACTAAGGGCGGCTCGGCTATTTCGAGTACTCCGAAGGACATTTGTAAGGCTGCCATGGAGCACCCGTTGTCGTCTGTTTTCACCAGCTTGTTGTTGTTCTCTGGTACCACGGCAGCGCCGCTGACCGTGCGATCGGCATCGAGTTGATCAATGACACTGTATGATAACACAAAATATATATCGTTTCTATACAAAACCACCCATTGATTACCTATTTAAGTTGCTGCTTTTCAACATAGTGAAATAAAGCACAGGAGAATTGACAACCAAACAAAAGAATGCTACAAATAGCTGTTTATGCTAGTGTTGTAAGTGTTATCAAAATCATGCTATCGATATCAAGCTTTACCCAGCCCTGCGCCAATCAGCTGTTAAAGCTGTAACAACTGTTTGTTTATTTTTGCGAGAATGCATATTAACAAATTTTAATCACAATTAATTATGCGTTGTGCTGTCAGGTTTTGTGGCAACAACAATCGAAATGGCAATAAAAATAATTGGCGCTACTTTCATTTCCCCAAACATAAAGAACAGCTCAAAAAATGGATTCAATTTTGCGAGCGGGACATAAGAAACCCAACAACAGGTAAATTTATTTATTTATTAACTCATTTATATTATAATCACAAACCGTTTGTTAGCCTGCATTTGCAATGAGCACTTTACGCCGGAAGACTTTGAGCGAAATATGCAATATGAACTGGGCAAGTTAAATATCAGCTCTTTATTGCAGACACGATTTTAACGTTTTATCCACTTGCAGGCTTCACGCGCAAAAATCCAACTAAATTAAAGCCCGGCTCCTATCCGAGCATCAAGGCACCACGGGATAAACTTTTACAAAACAATGCTAAAAATAAATGCAGCAACAATCGAAAGGATGCGTCGACTTTAAGCCCGCATCGTTTCTTCAAAGAGCTGGACGAGGCTCCAAACTCCAATCCACCAAATACAGAAAATGGGAATTTAGTTGAATTCGAAGAACTAGAAGACGTAGCTGAAAGCAGCAGCAACCTGTGCCAAAACTATGAGACGATAGAGTATATAAACGACACAGAAGAGTATACAGATGCGCAGCTAACTGACGAGGCGCATCCCGTTGCGCGATTGGAACTAGAAATAGTCGATCCGTTCAATCCTCAAAGCAATGCGGAGGAGCATCTGGAAATCATCGATTCGGAGTGTGACAATTATGCCAGGCATTTGGAAATCGAAGTGTATGCTATTAAAACTATTATCCATTAAAGCATGTACAAAGCTCATATTTATACTTATTAACAGGAGCAGCCTCAAACGGCAGGTCTTCTTTCTCAAAGATGAGCGTAAAAAACTGATCGACGAAATTCAAAATCTAAGGGCAACAGTTCGCAGCTGTCGACTTAAGCATGCCGATTCCTTAGAAAACCTGAACTTATCCAACAGTAAAGTAATTATTATAATTACAAAAAAAAAGGAATAGTATTCTACAATAATGTTATGTTTATATTTACAGGCCACATTATCCAGACACAGAGTTCCAATTAAGAAGACGGTTATGCTCTATACTGCAAATATTGATACTATTAGGAAACTAAGAAAAATTAATGAGTCGACTGAATAAAGCAATCATATAGTAAATAAATCTATTTGTACCTTAAAGTAAATATTTTTATAAGCATATTTTTAAGCATCAAAAGTTTAATTTTGCGCTGCGGTTAATTACTTAAACATTTTTCTTTTAAAGATTTTCAGAATCAAGCACAGAAGTGGGCATACGGGCTGATGGTGGACTTAAAAGGAATTGTAGAGAATTTTAAGTACCTCAACATAGTTTCCCAGAAAAACTTCACGATTAAACATATGTACATGAAATGTACTTTACCAACTCTCCGAGTTCCCTAACTGTCCGACGCTGTCATAACTCAACCTAAACGAGCAGGCAAATCTTTTGTTAGTAATTTCTGCCGCTATCGCGGAAATTCGGCTGTAATCGCGGGCTGGAAAATTTCCACAGGGTCAAAGTCATTAGGATTACTTCGCCATATTGAATTTATGCATGCGGCTCCTCTACCTGCGGACCTATAAAAGAGCAGTCTGACTTAGGATCGACCTGCACTACAAGCGATACACTCTGGCGACCAACATCGTGCTAGTTTCGGACAAAGACTCTGGCTAGTTGGCGATTCAACGGTTCCTGTTGCCACGTGAAGCAGAAGGGCCACATCATCATCTGGGGAATGTCACAAAACTGGAACTCTGACAAGTTGGCGATGGGCATCGATGCCACAAGGCGCAGAAGGGAATCAGGAGAATGCAATCCATGGATCCTGCCAAAGCAACCGCTTGTTGTGTCAGCAATTTTAGGCAAAATTAGTTAATTGTAGCTAAATTCTAAACAAATTGTATATAGCCCCCTAATCCCTAATAGTTTAATTTATAGCCCTTTTATCCTGCATAGTCAAATTTATTTAGTTCAATTGTACATACTTAATTCTAGACAATTATTTAGTCAAATATTATAAGTATATTCAAAATATACGTGATATTTTTGCAATAAAATGAAATTTACACAACAATTTCAAAGATGCTTTTTTTCAATTAATAAAACAAGCTAATTTTCAGCTCGACTCAAGTTCTTCTGTGTATTGAAACAAGACAGACTTGAGTAGAAAATGATTTCAAGATAAATTAAATTGATTTTTATACAATATTTAATCAAATGTCTTGTGTGTAGTATTATGCACTCAAGTCGAAAAGGGTATTAGCAGCTCGTTTTGCCTCAATAACAAATATCCGTATTTATTGATAAAACCTGGGTTACCGTGGAGCCCAAGGAAACCTTTTGTTTGCTTGTGCATGGCAGAACAGTTTGTCTGTCTACAAAAGAATCGAATTGAAGGATAAGGTTCCTGTTAGTTGCTCGGAATGGAGTATATCTTTAAGAAGGAGCGTCGCACATTTGGATCACGGGTGCATTTCGAGGACAAGGATGAGGTGGTATTCAGCGAAAACTCCAATCCCGAACTGGTCAAGAGCTATATACTTAAGAATCCCGTTGACCGTTCCACACAATATGCTGGGCAGACATCGCTGAGCGTTGCCAACACGGAGCGGGCCACATATAAGAGCACGGGGATCACGCACAATGAGGGCGGCTGGCCGAAGGACATCAATATGCATGACCCGGAGCAGACGGTGCGCTATAAGCGCAAAATCGAAAAGGATGACAATTACATAACGCAAGTGATGAACCTCACGAAGCCGATGGAGCACTATATACACCAGAATAATGCCGTCAACATCTATGAGAATTATTTTGAGAATATGGAGCCGGCACCGCTGCCAGAAGCTTGCAAATCGCGCACCGTTAACGTCTATCGTGATCCCAATCCGATAAAGGTGCCCGTGAAGCATCTGTCCTGGTCACCGGACGGTGGCATTAAAATGGCGGTCAGTCATTGTGATATGAAGTTTCAGGGCGACAAGACCGGACAGCGCTGCAACTCGTACATTTGGGAGGTGGAGAACCCAAACGAACCGTTTCTAACGCTCGAGCCGAAGGTGCCGTGCGTGTGCCTCGAGTACAATCAAAAGGATCCAACCAGCCTGGTCAGCGGCATGTACAACGGCCAGGTGGCCGCCTGGGATACGCGACACGGCAAGCATCCGGTAATGATTAGCGAACGCGAAGTGTGCCATCGCGATCCAGTCAATTCGGTACTGTGGAACAACTCCAAGAGCGGCACCGAGTTCTTCTCGGGCGGCTCCGATGGACAGGTGCTCTGGTGGGATACACGCAAACTCAGCGAACCTCTGGATCGACTGCTTATGGATCCCGTCAAAGGTGATGAGCAGGATTTATCGCGCTCCTACGGCATCTCAGTGCTGGAGTATGAGACCACCATACCGACTAGATTCATGGCTGGCACCGAGATGGGCATGCTCTTCTCGTGCAACCGCAAGGGCAAAACGCCCACGGAAAAGATACAAATCCGGGTAGATCTCGTTGTGTACTGCTCCTTGTCTCCCTCCTAGTCTTGATCCTCGATCCAATTACAGATGATGTGCCACTTGGGACCTGTTTATGCGATCACACGCAATCCAGCTTTTGTAAAGAACTTCCTTACCGTGGGCGATTGGTGTGCGCGCATCTGGTCTGAGGACTGTCGTGAGAGCTCAATTATTTGGACCAAGAGCAGCTCCTCCATGCTGACAGACGGCGCCTGGAGTTACACCAAGTGGGGAGCATTTAAATGAAATATCGAAACTGTGTGTCCACAACATATTTTTATATCTTCACCTTAGAGTCTCCCAGTTCTTTATTACTCGCATGGATGGTGTGCTGGACACATGGGATCTGCTGCAGCAGCAGAACGAGCCGGTTCTAACGGTAAAGGTCTGCGATGAGCCGCTCTACTGCGTGCGGACCAACGAGAACGGAAAATTCGTCAGCTGTGGCAGCAAATTGGGTGCAACATTTCTAATCGAGGTTTCCGACAATATGATCATGTCGTCCAAGAATGATAAGCCGCTGCTAACTGCGGTAAGCTTCGCGTAGTAGCTAATATATTCATTTATAAAAAGTACTAATATTTTGCTTTTTTAAAGATGTTTGAGCGCGAAAATCGACGCGAGAAAATCTTGGAGGCCAAGTCAAGGGAGAGCAAACTGAAAATAAAGGCCAATCATGGCCAGGAGCAAGCCGATCTAACTATGCTGAATGGCAAGATCAATATGGCGCCATTTGCTAGCGCATGCGAACAAGCAGCCAGTGAATACTTTGTCGCTGTGGAGCAGGAGCGTCTGCGCCGACTGCCCGGAGGCGGAGGCGGAGGCAAGCGTAGGTGAACGGTTTTGCTTTGGCTATTATCTTAATGATATTTAATATTTAACTGTTCTTACAGAGGATGTGGAGGAGGTTGATGTCTCAGAAGCGGAGAGCTCGAAAGTTTAAATCTGAAATTGTTAATAACTTTTTGTTGAGTTAATAGTTAATAAAGAATAGAAATTATCAATGACTCTTAATGATAATTGATATTTTCAGTTAAATTTAAGCGTTGCCCAACACTGCAAGCAGTCGATAACTTGTGGTGGTCGGTCAATAGACAATGAACAGCATACCTAGCTCGAGTAAACTACATACACTTCAGTCATCGATAAGACCAGCGAGAATTAAGATATATATTTTGTATTTTATAAACGTATATTGAGTGTAAGATAACTTTGTGCATTACTCAGTTATTATTTAATTTAATTATTAGTTTAGATATTTAGTAAGTCCAATTGTTGAATTGAGCATTCCGTTCAAAGTGCGCGCGTTATATATAACCAACTTTCTTGTTGCACGTTGCGCTGTGTGGCCTACGTGACTCAGAAACAGTTATCAATGGCGCAACAACAGCTGCTTCAGCTGAGTTCACTGACCAATTTTCGTGCAACAGCAACCCCTGAGCCAAGCAGCATTTAAATTTGAACTGTTTTCGGAGACGGTCATTAATTGCAAATATTATTTCGAGCAGTGTACAAGTGTGCACACGTGTGTCTATTAAATAATCAGCGCAGCTAAATAATAATCAAAACAAAGTACAACAACAACAACAAAAACAAAAGTGAACGTCTAGGAAATCGCAGAGAAAACCTTGGCGCGTTTGCCATTCGACAGTTGCAACTAAAATAATTAGTTCTAAAGTGAAGGTGAGGTCCGCATATCTGAGTCATCTAAAGATCAGTTGTTTCTTTGTTTGAAACAACTCCAAATGCAAAGCTGAAGAAGAAGAAGCATAAGAGGAAGAAAAAAACTGCAATGAAAACGTAATGTTTACATCTGAATTTTCATGTCTGCAGTCACGTAGACCTCCGATTTTTTGTTAAGCGAGACAGCCAGCTAATTTGCGCAGCTCATTTGCTTACATATATAGAAATACATACATATTTACTGCATATGAAAATAACTGACAAGGTCAAGTTTGTTGTCATATTTGTTGTGCATAGCACATTTGTTTATCGTATCGAATTTCTCAATTAACGCCAGTGTATTGCTCTTACAGCTCCATTCAGTGGACAACATGTTGGACATTGTCCAACCCGGCGATCAGCTGAACAGCGGCAGCAACAGCAGCAGCGATGTGGTCGTCATTCGAGCCAAGCCAAAGAAGGTGTTCAAGCCCAAGGCGCGCATCAATCGCATGCCACAGGAGCTGCTCGATGATCCGCAACTGCAGCGGGCCATTGCTAGGCTGCCCTCGAACTACAACTTTGAGCTGCACAAGACCATTTGGCGTATACGGGAAACGAAGTCGAGGCGTGTGGCCTTGCAGCTGCCAGAGGGCCTGCTGATGTACGCAATGGTCATAAGCGATATTATAGAGCGTTTCACCAGCGCGGACACTGTCATCATGGGCGATGTCACTTATGGCGCATGTTGCGTTGATGACTACACGGCGCAGGCCTTGGGCGCAGATCTGCTGGTGCACTATGGCCACAGCTGTTTAATACCCGTCGATCAGACCTGCGGCATCAAAGTTCTTTACATCTTTGTGGACATTAAAATCGATCCGTTGCACTTTCTCGACTCAGTCAAGCTGAACTTTAAGCCCGCGGACGGCCAACTAGCGCTGGTCAGCACAATACAGTTTGTAACCACGCTTCAATCAGCTGCAACCGAGCTGAAAGCAGCCGGCTACGATGTGCTCGTGCCACAGGCCAAGCCGCTGAGTCCGGGTGAGATATTGGGCTGTACTTCGCCCCAGCTGCCGGAGACAACTCAAATGATAATCTACCTGGGTGACGGACGTTTCCATCTGGAATCCGCCATGATTGCCAACCCGCTGCTAAAGGTAGGCAGAACGCAGCTGCCTCTGCAAATTGTAAACTTTATTAACTCTATCCCTTTGCAGGCCTACAAGTACGATCCGTACGAGAAGAAGTTCACCGTGGAGCATTATGATCACAAGGCCATGCAAGGCTTGCGACATGCGGCCGTACAGCGCGCCAAGCAAGCGCAACGCATTGGCATCATACTAGGCACACTTGGTCGACAGGGCAGCGCTCGTGTGCACCGATTTCTGGAGAAGCGTCTGCATGCCAAGGGCATTGCGACCACCACCATACTACTGTCTGAGATTTTTCCACAGAAGCTGGCACTGTTTGCTGACATTGATGCCTTCGTGCAAATTGCCTGTCCACGCCTGTCCATTGATTGGGGCTCAGCCTTTGAGCAGCCACTGCTGAATCCCTATGAGCTATCTGTGGTGCTGGGCGACATTGAGTGGACGCCAGATAATGCCTCGCCACGCAACAATGCTTATCCCATGGACTTCTATGCTAGCGGCAGCCTGGGCCCCTGGACGCCTAACTTTAAGCCACCAGCGCTGGGTGAATGCGAGAACCGGCCCTCGGCAGACTGTTGTGGTCGCTGCACGCGTGCTGAGTTGGAGAAGGACGAAACCGGCAAGGCGGCAGCATTAGCCGACATACTTGATTTCAAGAAGGGCTAAACGATGCTACAATGCTACAGTTTGAGGACACCTGAAGCTTTCCTCATTTCTCTCAAGCGTGACTTAATGCTAAGTAACTAAGTAACTAGGTGATTTAGTTTATGTGCCCGCCCAGCCCAAATGTAATATGGTATACCTACTAATTAAGTTAGTACAAATTTGATTTCTAGGTTATATAGCGCTATGTATAATACATTAGCGCAACTTTTGTGTTCATCCATCTTCCTTTTGATAACGTTACAGCATTCATAAAATATTCTAGTTTTTAGTTAAATATCCAGAAACAAATATAAAAAACAAATGTTAACGCAATTTCAAATGCAATTCAAATTATTTCAGTGCTATAAATATGTTCATGCCATATATATTATCTGCTGACTTGGTGTAATCTTTGGACTCTAACATTTGCTTCGCAATGATGCATTTGCATCACGCCATGTATTTATATTTTCAAATAAATCACATCAGCTTGAACCAATTCAGAGCTTATCTAGCATTATTTTGATTTCTAACTAGCTGACTGTCAATAGGAAGCGGAATTTTTCACAATAGGCACCACAATGGGCCTTAAGGCGAAGTCGGCTTTCGGATAGAAAACTTTGTTAATTGTTATCCGGCTCAGACTGTCTTTTAAAACTATTTATATATACACGATCCACAATACGTGCGGAAAACTAATTGTTATATAAAATATGTTAGCTGAATAAAGCCTGGTACTTCATATTAAAGCCTGCATATTAATCAGCAGTTAATTAGAGTATACTTTGCAGGGTATATTTTAGTCGAGCATACTCCGCGAAAGTGCGGTCAGTGAACTGAAAAGTAAACAAGCGGCTAGTTGCATACCTTGCTATCTGTGTTGCGATGGGAGTATTAATGAAATTACAAATTTAATTTCTAGGCTTTCGTCAGAGTACAATCTAATGAATGTGCCACTTGAGGCACTAAAAAACTATTGATTTAAGTATTTTTATTTCCATTGATCCTGATTGGAACTGTTAGGCTGCTGGATTACTGGATTACATATAGCTTGCGGCCATTTTAGTTAATACTAGCAGGTATATCCCAGCATGGCTCGTGGTACGTATAAAATAAATTAATTGAAAGATCTTTGAAAAGGAGTTCGCGGCCGATCGGATGGTCAACAAATAAGTTTCATACAAAAGTTTTTCGCGATTTTTCCACACTAGCGGGTGGAATTTCCCGAAACCCCGTCTCAACGTGCACCTTCATCACATAAGGTAAATACAGTGCAAATTCCAGCTTCCCAGCCTTTACGGTATGTGCTGTGCGTTGATCATCAATCAATCAGTCAGGCGGTCAATCAGTCAGTCAGGGCAAATAGTTTATATATAGAGATGAATAAGAATATATTTCTTTACCAGTTTATCAAACATTTTACTTCTTTAGTTATTTAATAAACATCAGTTAAGGCAATAATAAAATAAATTTTTTTATTTGTTTAAATTTAATCTGAATTTTGTCAGAAAGAACATGAAGAAAAACTTACATGGCATACTTGAATTCATGAGAATCGCAGAGGACGGCGACATCTTGCATCAGCGCAGCGAACAGTATTCTTGATATACATACACACACACACACATTCAGACGAAGTTTAGCTTAAAGCTGAAACCCCCAATTTTCATTTAGGTTCTTCTGTTAACTTATGTTCTCTAGACTTGGCGCACCCAACATTTAAAATAGACTAAAAATTGTTGGCTTCATAAATATTTAAGATTTTATTTTAAACAAAAAAATGTTCGTACAAATACGATCACGCATTAGACATGCAGTTAAAAGCAGAATATTGTGCAGAATACTCTGCACATATGTACTTATTTATATATTTGTTGTTTTTGGCTATAAATCAGATCTTAACTTTATACATATATTGGATGAGAGCGGAACTCAGCCACGTTAAGCCGATCCGCGTACATCAAAAAGCCTTTAAGCATTTATCATTGAGTTGTCTAGATTTAAAAATACACTCGAAATGTGTTTTGGTTTGGGTTTTCTTACCCGCTCGACATTTAGACAATCTTAGGTTTATTTAAATTCCAAGTATATACATATATATATATATATATATTTTTTTTTTTTTTTCAGCTTGACTGACGACATTTGATTAAATTAGGCTTGGATCCTGATGCACTTGGGACACGTATTCAAGCACATATATGTCATTATTTTACTCAGATTCTATTTATATTTTTTTTCGATTTAGGTTTGTGTTTTATCTTTAGGTAGGTGTATTCGTTTCTAGCTTTGCTTCCTGCAACATCACATGATTTCTATTTGCGTTTTTTCTCATTGTATTTTTAGTTATTTTTTGTAACATTTTAAAGGTTCTCAATATCGTAACGTTTTGGGCAAGGATAACTGGTAACTTGGTAACTTATGTTCGAATGTAGCACCAAAAACAGCTGACAATAAAATAATCTACACTTAATTGCTAAAAAGATCGTTTAAAAGTCATACACAAAATTGTGTCTAATAATTGTTAAGAGCAACAAATAGTTTTTTCTGCATTCAGTTTTTCGAAAATAGTTTTCCAACACAAAAAGATCTCTTTCTTTTATAACATATAGTTTTTCTTCTTTTGTGGCAGTTCATTTTACATTACTGAAATACATTTTGGGACTGTTGTTCGGTTCGTTTTGTGGGATCACAACCAATGTGATGCACACTTTCAGCTTTATATCACCAAAAATCTTTGACCAACTCCTCCATCAGATACTCAATCGTGATAATGGGTAAACAATTTCAACAAATATCAATTGAGGGTTTTGGAGATAGTTTGGGTTAGATAAAAACAATACTTCATTTAGCATGTACGAATGCGTTGCAGAGTTCAAAGTCTAGTCCAAGATCAAAACCTATTCGAACCCAGCCTAGAAGTGAGCTCTTAAAATTTAAATACAAATAAGTAAGTAGTGTTGTTAAGACTTTATCACTTTGCTTTCTCTCTACCAAAATCTCTCTCTCTCTCTCTCTCTCTCCTCTCCTCCCCTTTCTCGCTCTGCCCCTTACTCAATTCATAAAACTTTAACACACACACATAAGCTTCTCATATTTCTTAGGCTTTCATCAGTTTTAGCTTCCGCTCTCCCCCTCTCTCTCTCTCTTTCTCTCACTCCCTCTCGCTGGCTTTAAAAATATGAATATATCTTTTTAGTCTCTCTCCACGCCACTTGCCGCCCCACAGCCACACACGTTGGTCAGTTTTGGATAGCCTTACGAGCTTACAATGAGAAGTATTTCAAGAACTGTGCCGGCGGAACGGGCTGGGCCAGCGCCAACTGGCCGCCGGCCTCCTCGACACGCTGCTTGTAGTCGGGACTCTGATCGATAATGCACGGATGACCATCGGAGGGCCAGAAGAGGCAACAGCAGGAGCGGCACAGTGCCAGCACCTCAGCGAACTGGTAGTCATCGTTGACCCCGTAGGTGCGTCGCAGCTGATGATAGATCTGTTTCCAGTCTTTGGTCTCCCCCATCTGCTTGATCTTGTCCAAGTCGAGTATGGTATTGATCTGGCGCTGGTTGAAATGGAAGCGTGTCAGCTCACGCCAGATGCGCTGCTCCGAGACCAGCCTGGCCATGGTCTCCCAGGCCTCGGCGGCCGACTCGAGATCACGATGATCGGCAATGCACAATATTATCTCGCGGACGCACTCCTCGGGCAGCTCGTGCAGCTTGGGCCGTGCCAGCGGATCGGGCTCCCGGATCTCAATCTGGCTGGCCACGCGCTGAATGCGCTCAATACGGGCCATGTGCTCCTGCCACAGATAGGTGCTGCCCAGCGGCTTGCCCCAGCACTTCTGGTTCTCCTGGTTCACGATGTGCTCCAGCTTTAGAGCCAAGCCGCGCAGCACATTCGGATGCTGCTGACTGTCGTTGACTGCAATGAAAATGAGCGAGGATTAGTAAGTTCCGGCTTGGCGCAATTGTGACCCAGCCTACTCACCGTGTGAGGCCACCTCCTCGACCATTTGGAGCAGCTGACGCTGAGCACTGCCCGGCAGGCTGGCTATGCCCTTGTTGGACACAAGCAGCAGGAACGCACAAATGTAATGGAAGCGCTTGCGATCCCGCACCGAGCGACGGAAATCGAGTCGCTTCACCGCCTCGCTCAGTCCATTGAAGCCGGCGATCTCACGGGTGCAGCGTATCGTAATGTGATAATGCGGTGGCATGCAACCGGCTTCCGGCTCCTCCCCCTCGCTGCTGCTAGCTCCCTCCGAGCAGCTACCCTCCGAGCTGTGCCTGCAATCATATGGAAGAAAAGCACGCTATCAAAGCTACCATTCGGAAGTGTTTGCAATCCAACTGGTACAACGATCTGCCCGTCCCTCCATCTGTCCCACCAGTTGGCCAACTTGTTGGCAAATATTTGTTTTTCTCTCCTTGGATTTGGACTTTATCGTGTTTTTTTTTTTATATTTATTTGTTTTAAACGTTTGTAAACTGCTTTTTAAAAGGCGGAAGTTGCCAAGCTTTTGCAGCCGCGGCTGTTGCATCGTGTCTGGGGACCCGGTTATTAAATTGAGCGATTCGCTTGCCGGAAAGCGGTTCATTTGCCAGTTTTTCGTTGTTTTTCGATTACATCGCAGCTTGCACATATTCAATAATGTTGCCGAGCATTAACCAAGGAAGAAACCAGAGTTTCCTATAGGTCAACAATTCGTTCAACAAGAATATGACAGAAATGTGAACGGGCACAGATCTCGACAGGATTAGGACAATTTAAAAGCCATGTGAATTCAGGGGACATGCATTTCGCATTTCGATAGATCGATATGCCTTGACGCTGCCAACGAGGACATGTCCTTGGGCGACTGCATTCCAATTACCAAACTGGGTCATTCTCTGTGCTAGCGTGTATGTGTATGCGTGTGTGTGTGTGTGTGTGTGTGTGTGTGTGTGTGTGCCTCTGTATCTCTCATCTGCAATTTGTCAAATAATTGACCACTAATTGCAGTTCCGTGTAGCTACATATACATTTCCCTCGCAAATTTAAAGTCGTTGGAAAATTTTAAAGAATTTTCAAAGTTTTCGAGTAGTTCGATATGTGACGTCATGACCCTGCGCGGCTCAAGAGCGGGAGCCGCTCCTGCCTACAGCAAGAATCTCCATATCTCTATAAAACTGTTTCTCCTGACTGACTGATTGATTGTTTGACTGACTGACAGACTGACTGATTGATTGATTGACTGACTGACTGATTGATCGATTGATTGACTGATTGATTGATTGATTGACTGACTGACTGACTGACTGACTGATTGACTGACTGACTGATTTAGGGGAATTCCACGCGCTAGTGTGGAAAAATCGCGAAAAACTTTTATATGAAACTTATTTGTTTACCATCCGATCGGCCTCAAACTCATTTTCAAAGACTTTTCCACTGAGAGACACTTTTCGAAGAATACATTTCTCAAAGATCTTTGAGAGAATTTATTTGATAGGTGCCACGGGCAATGCCGGGGTATATACAATGGAAAATGGTTTAAAAATTGATGTCTAAAATTTAAAGGAAAGAACTTGAACCGGATAAGGCCGTGAAATACCAGATCGGACTGTATGAAAGTAAATACCAGCGCAAATTTTGGAAAGATAAGTTACAAATAGATAAGTTGGGGTTATTAACCAAAGTACTAAAAATGCTTCAGTAAATAATGTGGCTTAGTTCTTATTGCGAGTATTTTGTAAAAAATTTACCATTTTCATGGCCGCTGCACAGCTAAAAGTGCAAGCTGCCCGCCTCTCTCTCTCTCTCTCCCTCTCTCTCTCGCTCTCTCTCTCTCTCGCTCTCTCTCCATGAAAATAATAATACAAGCTGAAACAAAGAAATTGTTATTGTTGTTGCCCAAGAGGCGAATAGGCTACAGCCTCAGTTTATATACCAACTGCTCAGTTGGCTTTGGCTAGCGGAGCATACACTGGGCTGAGGGGGGAAGGGGACGGAAGGGGAAGGGAGGGGACGACCACGTGATTCATATAAATCAGTCAACGACGTCAACATCGAGCGTTCGTTTACCTTTCTTTGGGCAAATTAAACAAATGCAATGCTGGGATCTGGCCCCGGGGCAGACCCCGACTGCAATTCGCTTGTCTATTTTTAAGTGTGTGACCTTTTTAGACTATTGGGACTATTGGGAGCTGGGAGCGGAGAGCGGGACGAGGCACTGCTAGCCAAGTCAAGTCGTGCCGTGTCGAGTTCTAGTCTAATTTTAGCTTGGAAGTCGCAGGCTATCACATGTCGCTGTCGCTCCGGCTATAAATAGTTGGTTCGGGAAGTTGTACGTCGGGAAACCCATTTATTAAGAGCTTTATTTGCATAGAGTCCAAATTTCAGTAGCAAGCTCCATTTGTCGCGGTTCATGAGTCAACGATTGTTGCAATGAGATAAAAGATACAATAAAAGTGAGTGCAGTAGATAAATGATAAGTGCACAAATTACACTGCACAACAAAACAGGCATTAAATCAAATTGATTCACGATAGCTAAGCTCGCCTTTTTTATTAGTTTTATATACATAATTGATTTTCAATTGAAGCAATGGAAATTGTTAGAATGACCTTCGAACTTCAGTTTTTAGTATTAAATAGATATACATCTTTAATAATATCTGGCAAATTGTAGTGTTATGTATTTTCAATCTAAGTTATAAGCATTATAAATAAACTCTAGCTGTTTTTCAAGCTGTTTTAAGTGTCAAATGTGAAAACTGGCTAATTTAAGATTGCTCGATGATCTGGTAAAGAATTGCTCTGCTGTGCAGTGTAAAAATGAAATTGAACGCATTTTCATCGGTAGCAGTCGAGTTTTCAAAGTGTAGATAAAAAATATAAAGAAAAAACAAATCAAAGAGCAAGCCAATTCAAAAGGCCAACAAATGCTCAATGGAGAGTGCAGTGAAAGTGGGTCCGCATCCACGTCCACATCCACATCCACGTCCGCATCCACGTCCAATTGCACATTGATTAGTTTTGAGTCTTTATGCAATTTGGAATTTTTAATTAGGTTTTTCATGCATTACGAAGTGCCCGCAATCGCCACTTCGGCAATCGACTTTATAATTGACCAAAAAAAAATTGTGCAAAGAAAAACTAAAGTTATGAAACTTTCCGCCAGATAACGAATTGCATTTTTTTTTTGGCATTTCCCATTGCATGAGCTAACAATCTAATTGTGCAACATTTAACTTGTGTATTTAGTTTAATATTATTAACTAAAAAAATAATAAAAATATAAGCTAGCTACTAACTATTCCACTGAATCTTACGATAATAATACACTTTCCTAGTCGTGATTTTGGGCTGCATTTAAAATCGATTTGAGGTGGAAGTTGGCCTCATAAAAGTGAGCCCAAATACACACACACACACGCACACACACACACACACACACACACACACACGCACAAGCTCGCTATTTCGGCTAAACTTGACCGAGTTACACGCCCTCCCAAAAGGGCGGCACGTGCTTGAGGGTGGGATTAAAGTTTCCAAGGTTGCGCCCAGTTGTGTATGTATGCAAGAGGCGTGCTCGTCCTTCGACTCGGACAATTTAAAAGGATTGTCAAAAACTATGAATATATATATGTACATATATGTATATATATCTGCATAGGAAAAACGTGTTCAAATTCATTTTGAAATTTTTGTTCAAGAGAACCTATTTATGCGCATTGCTTCCGCATATTTTTCCTACCATATAAGAGAACTGCGTATACTGCAACTGCTGACAAATGCCAAAAATAGTTTTTAGTTTTTTTTTCTCGAGAAGATGTGCTTTATATGACATGTCAAAATAATCACTTTAAAATGACTTCTTCCCCCTCGCACATGTGCGTTTTACGGTGTTCTGCTTTATGTGAACCGTTGCGAGGCTTTCGGCTTTCAAGTGGGTCGAATGCGCGTTCGACTTGCACGTTTCGCTCCGTCACGTTTCTAGCCCCCACCTCCCTGTCCGACTACATGCGCCTGAGATTTCAGCCAACTGGTTTCAGTTTAATGCCTATAAACTATCTGGCAACGCTGTTAGCCAAAACTATAATAGCTGCTATTCGAGTATTGCCTTATCATCAATGTTTTCATTGCATCTAATTTCAGATCAGAGTGCTGCCAGATTTCTATACAAAGTGTTGCCAGTATTTATTGCCATTTCCATTTTGCACTCAAGCGAAATACAATAAAAAAGAGGAGATTGCAATCAATCAAACGGTAACGTCTGGCTCTCCCCGCCCTTCACAGCACTCGAACGTTTGTGGCTGTCACTTTCACGCTCATTTGCAGTGAGTCACCCTAATGATTACAGTGCATATCAAATATGTACATATGTGTGCGTGTGTGCATCTAAGGTATCTTCCATTCTTCAAATTCATACTCGCATATAACCTTACATACATATAGTTACAAAAGTCTGCTAACTATCCATTTTAAATGTAGTCCTATTCATTCATCAACATCAACATTAACATTTTTATACGATTTCAACATTCGTCAGTTCATTATTTTTGTTCGTTTTGTTTGCTTTTGCTTTGATGATGTCGTTTTGTGGTTAATCTCTAAAGAGAAGGTAAACGTTATTGTGCTTTGAACAAGGCACATACAACAGTCGTATATTATATTATATATGTATGTATTGTATTAGATTGTATAGCTTTTGGCAATATGTGTTATAATTATACAAAGTATTTCAAGTAACTAAGACCGATTAGAATTTTTGTAGGTCGTAATAAGACCTTGGCTTTAATTTTCCAAATCAAAAACTGTTCCGCTGGCATTGACCTTTAATCTGTTTGGGCGCGTTATCTTATCTATAATTTGTTTGTCTTGTGCATTGCGTTGTCAAAATGTGGCAGGTCAAAACATATATATATATATACATATATATAGGTATATATGGGTATGCATGTGAATGTGACCCAAATAGCATGAACAATACCAAATTCAAAAGTTAAAATTTTCCATTGTCTTGTTCGTCGATTGCATTGTGAACGCATACGCAATTCAAATCGATTGTCAAAAATTGTGAGTTTGTCAACAATCGTTCGATTGCCAATCGGAACTGCGTATTGGTTCGCCCGCATTTCCCAATAAGAAACTCACCGCTTTCGTTTGCCGCCACACTCGAGCACCTTCTTGCGCTCCCAGCCTTCGTCTGTCTTGACCCAAGCCTCGCCAGGGGAACGAAAATCTTTCGAAATGAACGCCATGTGTGTGTTTTGTTTTTACTTATTACGGTATATTACGTATTATGAGTATATTTAAATTACTCTTAAGTTGTTATTATTTTTTTGCTTATTATTTACTTTTTGTTGTTTTGTAATGTTTATATGGACGGCGGTTTGAATAACGCGTTTTATATGAGCGTCTTAGTTAGGTTGGCTTAGTGTCTTTAATTAGCTGCAAAAATAAAAGATGATTTGATAAATTTCCAAATTTTTAGGCAATTCAAACCCTGCTACAAAAATTTGTTGCGCATTTTCCAAGTTTATGTAAAAGTTAGGCTATCAAGTCGACTTATCTACACTCTTCAACTATCCAAAGCACCAATCAGCTGACTTCCATATATGGAATTGTTAACGTTAATTGATTAAATGACAGGCTCATTTTCTTGTACATTGCGCAGTTGAATATTTTTATTACATTTTTCCTTCTCCTTTCTGTGGCCAATTTTGCGCCACAAGAGAGCATCAGAACGTTGACTAGTTGATTGCACTGCAGAATCAAAACAAAAGGAAAACGGAACCATATAAAGGCAAAACGTCAGAGCCAGAGAATACACAACAGCAGCAGAAGAGAGCGAGAGCGAGAGCGAATGAGCACTCAACCAGCTGTTAGTTGTGTGACTTGTCGAATGAGGGAAACGGGCAGAGGGGAGAGTGGGACTGTTTGGCGCTCAATTGGAGCACGAATCGTGTTTTGTTTTGCTGTCTCTGCTCGTGTGTCGTTTGTTTGTCATTGTGTGTGTGTGTGTGTGTGTGTGACGAGCGTGGAGCTGTAGGTACACAGCTGATTTCTGCAATTACGCGTTTGTTTTGCTTTTGTTGCTGTTGTTATTTTTTTTTTGTTATACATTTTTTCAGCTTGGTCTTAAAACACGCAACCAAATTTTTGTTTCAACATTTGAGCTAGGATTTGCTTTCATTTCCTCAATTAAGTAATCATAGTTCACACACTACATTTACAATACATATGGTATCTATATATAAACATACATACATATTAATATACAGATGTATCAATGTAATTGCTCAAATCGAAATGTAGTTTTTTCTTTTTGTTCTGTACATATCATTTTCTACGCACTTTGTGAATTGGCTGGTCTCCGGTTTGCGCTTAATTTCCACGCTGCTTTTGCTAAGCAGTGGCAGTAATTTAGCTCCCAGGTTTCTTGGCGATTTGTTAAATTATAGCACTCGACGGAACACAAAGTACAATGCTAGCGAACAGCTCCACAAACTCCACGAACTGCTTCACTCAGCTTTTCACGTTGCACTCGAGCCCCCCAATACTATGTTGCCTGACATTGTGCAAATGTTGCCCAACATTGCCTTAGCAACATCGATATAAGTTATCGATGTCTCCGATTATCTTTGTCTTTTATCGAGTGCTCGATGTGTGCTTATCAATGATTTGAGGCCATCACTAATTCATGTGAGATTTCATAATTTTTGCGAAAAATTCTGATCGAAATTAGAAAAATACCTATCAAGCAGGCCAACAACAATCAATTATCAACCGATTTGAGTAATAATGTCGGCATCGGAACAAGCACCAAAAATCAAGTACGGAGAAACCGCACCCAAGCTGGACAAGGCCCAATTGCAGTTCATGAAACTCATTGAGCAACAGAACTTGGATCGTGTCCAGAAACTGAAACGTGTGCGACGCAATAATTTGCTGACCGCCGGAGCGCTTGGCGTTTCGGTGCTGGCCATATACGGCTACTCCATATTCTCGGTGCAGCAGGAGAAGTTCCTCGACGACTTCGAGGAGCCCAAAAAAGTGACCACCAACTAAATACGCCCAGCATCCAATATTACCAATAATCCACCTAGTCTTTAAGCGTTTTCCATTCATTTTGTGCACTTACCTTGAAATCGTTGCATAACCAATATTAATTGTAAGTATTGCCCCCTCTCGCCTACCGCCGGCGCTCATTGCTTGCCTCTGCGTTTACAGATGTCTCAAGCCACGGCGCGCATCCTTGGCAGCGGCGTCCGACTGCCGCCGCTGCCGAGCATACGGGATTTGGTCAAGCTGTATAAGTTGCAGGCCATGAAGCAGCTCAGCCAGAACTTTCTCATGGACGAGCGTCTGACGGACAAGATCGTAAAGGCAGCCGGCCGCATAGATCCGCGCGATATTGTCTTGGAGGTGGGTCCTGGTCCCGGTGGCATAACGCGCTCCATTCTGCGGCGTCAGCCACAGCGTCTGATGCTTGTCGAAAAGGATGCCAGGTTTACCGAAACACTGCAATTGCTGCGCGAATGCGCCCGCCCCCTCGATATGCAGGTGGACATCTACCATGAGGATATCTTGCGCTTCAACATCGAACAGCACGTGCCGGACACCACACAGCGCTTGCATCTGATTGGCAATTTGCCGTTTGCCATCTCGACCCGCCTGCTGATCAACTGGTACGAAGATTTGTCGGCACGACGCGGCGCTTTTCGGCGAAACGACACCTGCATGACGCTCACCTTCCAGAAGGAGGTGGCCGAGCGCATTTGCGCCAAGCTGGGCAGCGATCAGCGCTGCCGTCTCTCGATCATGTCCCAAATCTGGACGGAGCCGTTGCTCAAGTTCATCATACCGGGCAAGGCGTTTGTGCCCAAGCCACAAGTGGACGTTGGCGTTGTCAAAGTTATACCCCTGAAGAAGCCCAAGACGCAGCTGCCGTTCTCGCTCGTGGAACGCGTCGTGCGCCACATCTTCAGCATGCGCCAGAAATATTGTCGCCGTGGCTACAGCACGCTGCTGCCGCCAGAGGGACGAGAGGAGACAACACACGCGCTCTTTCAGCTGGCCGATGTGCAGGATACGCTGCGTCCCTTTGAGCTGTCCGTCGACGAGTGTCTGCGCCTCGCCGACGTCTATGCAGACCATGTGGCCGCAAATCCTCAGCTGGCTAGCTACGATTACCGGGCGCCAAAGCAGGCCCTCCAACTGGAATCAATCTGCCTGGCATGAGTCAACGATTTCATAGACTTCTTCTGTGTATATTATAAAAATTGTATTACATAAGTGTAGCTTGGTAAATAGAGACTACATAAAAATTGTAAGCTTCTGTGTGATTGGACGAAATGTGGCTAAACGAGATTCGAGTTAAAAAATTGAACTGTCGTTAATGGTAAGACACTTTTGTACTAGGATTAAGTGCTCTTCAGTGGGACTGAAGTGTGCGGAGCAGCAGCAGCATCAGCGGCAGGAGGAGGGCAGCTGCTCCGGCCAGTGCTGGCATATGCAGACCGCTGGCTCCATTACAGCGATGGTCGAGGAAGCAGAAACAGAAGGTTGTGTCAGTGAAGTAGTCGCGCTTCACGTCGTGCTCCTTGATCGTGTGATTGACGTAGTGGGCCAGGCGCAAATCCTTTGCTGCCGGCCGACAGCCTTCGTACTTGTCAGCGGGAATGTCTGTGCGAAAGCTGAGCGCACTGAGACAGTCGCGGGTTATGGTCTCCTTGGCGCCGCGTCGCTCGGTCACTTTCACGCAAATGTCGTTGCTCTCGGGACACTGTTCGCCCAGGAAGCCGATGCCGCGCCAGTTGAAGTTGTCGGCGCAGCCGGGCGTGGCGGAAGTGCAGCGATAACACCAAATTGCAGCACCTGTCAACAACAAATATTCAATTAGAAAGATGTCTGCTGCAGCTCTCCCCCCACCGCATGACAAATGTTGACGAACTGTTGCTTCTCAGTTTCGTCAGTTTCTGACTTACCATCGTGAATTAATAGTGCCGTTAGCAGCAGCACAGTAAGTGGGACATGTGCGTGCATTGTTTGTTGATAACTTTAAATTAATTGTTTCGTTTAATTATAATATTTAACACAGAATTGTACAAAAATAAACAAAAAACGCAAACTACGAAAACAACGCCCATACGCGATTACGATGACAAGCGTAATGCTATCGAATGTTGCTATCGCCATCCACCACAATTCATCTGTTCTCAGTGCTCAAAGCACTGCCGAAACAGTGCTGGTAAGCACATGCACATTTGCGCGCCAGTTTGAAAGTTGCAAAAAAGCTTATAAGTGAAAGGCAATCTCATCTAGATGTCTGCCTGTGGACTACTATTGACATCTTTTGCAAATATTGTTAGATGGTGACTCACAAAACTTTGTTTGCTTTTTTCCATGTATGTTTGCATTCATAAGCTATGTCTTTGACTATTTTACAGCCCATTTCCGAAACAGATATTTTGGTGTTTCCTGCTAACAGTCATGTGTATTTTTAGCACTGCAAATTATGTATGCAAATCAGCTACAAAAAGGGGGTCCAATAAACTTTTGCTCGTATTTGGTGATCGCTTTTGGAGTATATTTATTTATTTTTTTGTGGAATGTGCGCTGTTTGCCAAATTAAAGGCCAAGATGAATCAGCCGGCCATGTCGAGGCGGCACTGCTAATTGAACGAACGGTTTCGACTGCTCCGCCTGTTGACAAAGTCCAAAAAAGCCGATGGACGCGTAACACCAGTCGATGTTGGCGCGTCACGAGAAGAAAGATGTTCAAATATGGAAATGACGAAATCTCTTGTGAGTAGAATGGGAGAAAGATTGGACTGCATTGTCTATAGATTGTGCGATATACTATTGTTTATATTCATATCAAAGGCATTTGTTTAATATGTATTATTATTGTTGTTCTTTTTATTTTAATAACTTAGAAACTAAACAATTTATACAGCTATTCACATTTGCAAATATCGCATACAGAGATTTTTGAATAAGTCAAAAACAAGAGAAATCTAACATTAATATATATAGTTAATATATATGGTTCTGTATATACACAGAAAAGCTGTTTACACATGAAACATGATTAAAGATCATCAAGAGTTTTACAAGAAATGAATGCAAATCGTTTTGTTATGTACAAATTAGAATAATAAATAAATTATGCCTGCTAAATGAATCATTCACACAAAACCAAACAAACGGGCTTACAAACTAACACACACACACACACACATACAGACAGTCAAATAACTAGAAAACTACGAATACATTTCATGTAAAATCACGTTTGGCCCCACCCGCGGGACCAGTGCCCCGCCCCCGATGAGAGAGTATGTATCTGGATCTAAGCGGAGACGACAAACTCCTTTCCGGTCTTAAAGTCGACGCACTTGAACTGAGGACAGCACTTGGGGAAGCTCCAGTTGAGGTTGCTGGGCAGCTCCTCGCAGCCGGGCATCTCAATGTAGGGACAGGTCTCGATATTGATCTGACGCGCCTCAATGTCGCACGTCATGGCGGCACAGATGCCCTTCGGCTTGTACTCCTTGTCGGGTAGCATCGAGCGTCTGGTCAGCTTGTCGTAGCATTTGCCGGGATGCGCTGCAAGTAAAGAAGGAAAAGACGGCGAATCAGTTAAAAAGCGGAAGTTGTTTTTCTTTTTTTATTTTTCTTTTTCTTTTCAATACAACGTGTTGTGTTTTATTACAGCTGCATGCATTTATTTATTGCTTATGCACGAGGAAGCAAAACTCATTGGCACATATGCAAGCATATATATATATAGGTATATATATCTGTAGATCTGTGAGCATTTGCTTTCGAAATAATTTCGGCGTGACAGGCAAAAAATAATCAAAAGACTTAAGCCACGAACTTGCCAGTCACGCCAGGCCATATTGAAACGGAGGCAAGTAAAAATACATTACGCGCAGCTTCTCTTGTGCCATATTTATAAATAAACGAAAAACAACAAAAATATAAAACTCTCAATTGGTTAATTGCAAACAATTGACAGCCTCGCGCCATTATTTATAACAATTGGCCGCCGGCTAAATTTTGCGAAGTTTTGATTAATCGACATCTCGGTGCGATCTTAAAGAACATTTCGAGCATTTCGAGCATTCATTTAAAAATGTTGTTGTTGTTGTTGTTTTTGCGAACTCCATTGGGGCTTGGGATTGAGAGAAATTCGCGTGAACTCATCGCCTATTTTTAACCCGGCCAGAAGTTGGACGACCTTCACGTTCGAAAAATTAGCAACTATCAGACAAATAAATCGAGCAACTATTTTATCAAGAGCTGCGACATTTTTGTAATACAAATCCGCATAGCTATGCAAATTAGCAAAGCGAATTTGAATTTGTTAATAAAAACCCAGCAGCAGCAGCAGCAACAACAGCAACAACAACAACAACAATCAGCACATTTCTTATGCTAATTTTTGGCAGACGCGAAAAACCCAAAAACCGAAATTTGCCCCAAAAAGAATGAAACATATCAAATCAAATAACAACAAATTCATTTGTTTTTGCTAATTTGATTGCGACTGTTTTGCGTTGTTTCTTCTACGATTATGTTTATGTGTGTTTTTTTTTCCATTTCTGTCATCTCTTCCCTCTGTCTTCTGTTGACGTCAACGAAAACAGCAAAACAAAATATAAATCACATCTTTCATAAGATAAAAACAAAACAAAACAAAACAATAATCAACGTCTGACGTCGAGCGCAACAAACAGTTACAATTAATCGTTAACCAACACTCAAATAATACTACAAAATAAGATAACTCTGGCAAACATTAGTCAAAAAAATAAAAAAAAAACAATAATCAACCTCTGACGTCGAGCGCAACAAACAGTTACAATTAATCGTTAACCAACACTCAAATAATACTACAACAAATAAGATAACTCTGGCAAACATCTTCAACCTGAACCATAAATCAATCATTTATAGTGGCAGCTGCTTTTAGTTTTATTCACTTTTTATTGTTGCTAAAGGTCGTTAAAGGCATTCGAGGTTTTTGTTAAAAAATCGAATTAATGCGATTTGGGCTCGCATTGACGTATTTCTATTCAATTCAATTAAGTAGTGCAGCAATTGCAGAGTAAAAAGTTAAATAATGAATCGAACCCATCAAATGCCAGGTATACGGGCTCCGACCAATCTTCAAAGATACTAACCAGGATGGATGACCGCGGGCTGAGTGTAGACAGCCGCATCGGCAATGCAGGCGATGCAGGCGAGGCAGGCGGCAATGAGCGCGAGTGCGACACAAACTTTTTCCGCGTGCATTTTGCGATTTATTTATGGATTATTGGCAGATGGTTTATTTGTATAATGTGTGTGCAATATATTGTTTAATTGAATTTCCACACAGTTCCATGCACACAGAGGTTCAACTTTGATTGGCTTTGTGGAGCTTTGCACTGGACACTTGACAGTCAGCAACTGAGGCTACTGCGGCCAGTGACGCTCATATTTATGTGTCGTCCGTAGCCAGCGAATGTTACAGGTCTGATTCTCTCTCTCACACACACACACAGATGCAGAGACACTCTCGCTCTCTGGTGATGGTGCGGCGAAGCACATGTTTTCTTTTTGACTGCGTTGTTTGTTTGCTTCGCTTTTTAGCTTTTTTCGCTTCACATTTTTGCGTCTTGGGTTATTCCGAGCCTAACGCGCACCATAAATCTCTGCTGTATACGTATTTATACACATATTTAGGCATGTATGTTTGTATGTGTGTATGTAGTATACGCTGCGCCGGCGAAATGCCTTTTCTCTATTTATCTCATAGCGCTTTGCCCACGCGTTCTCTGCTCTCCATTGTTCTGCATTATTTGCAGTTTGTGTAAATAATTGCTCGATCACTTCAAATGGCAACAACTCGCCGGCGATTGTAGGCGTGCTTTGATGTTGTCGTTTGGAGGCGTTTTGGAATTCGTGTAATTAATTCGTCGCCCCCTTTCTTTGATTGGCACGAAGATCGCTTTATAACTGAGCGTCATGCTCAGCTACATATGTATGTATGTATGTATGTATGTTTATTATCTAAATATAAACCTCTGTTGCTGCAATTTTGGCCAGTATAGGGGGACGAAGGTATGAACATATTTTTATTACCGCTTGGAAAGCGTGTTGTAATTGGTCCTGACAGAGGCCTCCAAGCAGAAGCACAGACTTGCAGTGCTTATTATACCGTTCGACTGACGCCAAGTTGACGCCGTCGGCCGACAAGGGGCGTATCGCTTAATGGAAACTAGTCGCCTCTTGCCTGTTTTTGTTTTATTGCATACCAGAGCTTAAATACCTATTATCTGTGCGCGCCATTGCACGCCATTCTTTGTAGACAAAGAAAAGTCAAGTCGGCTTCTTAAATTACTTTTTTTTTTGTTTTGATTTTGTTAAATATACTTTTCTAGTGTCCTGTAAACTAATATGAAAAATGTGTGTTTCTTTAAAATCCAATTGGGTTTTTAGGCTTACAGATTCCAGTCACTGGATGGATTCATTCCAATACCCGTTTAACCCGTTCCTAGCCCCGCTGCGCATGTCACACTTGCAACAAGCAACAACTACTACACAGACTCGCGACTGGCGATTCCAAGCCTCAGACCGTATACGATAACAACGTTGACCGTGTGACGTCAATTTGTTGTCGCTTGTTGTTGTTTGTTTGCTTGTGTTTGCAGTCGCAGTCGTCGTCGCAGTCGCCGTCGCCGTTGCCGTTGCTTTTGACATTGCCTTGGCCCGGCGCGTCTGAAACCAAATTCATTTTGCGGCGCACGCTGGAATTTATTAATTATGACCGGGTACAACATTTTAGTTTTGGCTTAGCACATGGGGGCAAGGGACGAGGGGCGCGGGACGAGGCGCTAAAAATTCCACTCGGAGCAGCCGTTTATTGTTGCTGATTTATTGTTGATTCGTATTAATGTTATTGCCCAGTTTTTGGACTACGTGCCTGCTGTAACTAAAGGAAAATAACAAAACCAAAAAACCAAGCAGAAAAAAAAATGAAAATAAAAACAAACACACGAATTGATAAATATTTATAAACTTAAGGTTTTTGTTTTGACGTGACGCATAATTAGTAATAAATTGTGTAGCAAAACAGTTCGTCGCAGCGCAAACAGTAGCTAGTTTTTAGGTTCCCCCAAGATAGCCCACCCCACCCCCTCCCCCAGCCCCTGCCACTGCCCTACTAAACCACGATATGTAAACAATTAATTATTGATTAATTTCAACGTACGTGTGCTGCTTGCAAATGAACGTATCTATATATAAATCTGATTCTCGTCTCCCCCAGAGGAGCTTGGAGGCCATAATTACCTGTGTGTTGCAGGTGAGGGGAAAGTGCGAAACGTTCTGCAACTTCAAAGCGTAGGCAAATAAATAAATGAATGCAATTTTCGAATAATTGATGGGCTGATTGTGATTTGGCCTACCTTTGTTAAGCTGAACATTTTTAGTTTAAGGTATTCCCCAGAATTGGCATGGGAATCAAGTTGGGAAAGGCAAAGAAATTTCTTCATTCGTTTCGATGCAGACTTTATTAATTCAATTTGCATATTTAACACGTTGCTTTTGGTTTTTTTTTTTCTCTTGGCAGCTTTGGCAAAAATCCCGAATTATCAAATCCGCATAAAACGAGTCGCAGCCCGGTGTCTGGCGCCAAAGAAATTGCCAATAATCCATCAAACGATTTGAGCGCTTTTGTTTATCAGTTACCGCCCCGCCACGCCCCGCCCCGAGAGGCGGAGTCTCCGTCTGCGGCTCGGTTCCAGCCTCCGCCATGTGCTAATCGCTCGATGGAGCGTTTTTGATACCCTTGCAGAGGGTATTATAATTTTGTCGTGAAATGTGTAACGCATAGAAGGAGACATCTCCGACCCCATAAAGTATATATATTCTTGTTCAGCATCAACATCGACAGCCGAGTCGATAGTCTCTCAGTTTTAAAGCTATCTTAATGAAACTTTGCAGAAGTCTCTCTTTCTGTTGCACGCAGCACATATGTCAAAACCAGCTGGATCGGACCACTATATCATATAGCTGCCATAGGAACGATCGGTCGAAAATTAAGTTTTTGTATTAAAAAAACATTTTGTTTTTCAAGATATCTTGACCAAACTCGGCATTTATTAGTTTTACTATACTCCTCATAAATATGCTAAATCCTATTAAGATCGGACTACTATATCATATATATGCCATAGGAACGATCGGTAGAAAACTAGGTTTTTGATTAAAAACCCTTTTTTGTTTATCAAGATATCTCTCCCAAACGCGGCATTAACTATTTTCCCTGTGCTAGATACGGGCAAAGCACTATAAGCATTATGAAAAGGTTGGCTCTGCAAGGGTATTAGATCTTCGGCGTGCCGAAGATAGTCTTTCTTTCTCGTTTTTTATTATTATTACACGTCGCCGACGTCGGTCGCTACCGTCCGGACCGGTCCATAGACGAATTTTTGAATCTATTTCCCGGTCGCAATGTGAACGCAGCAGCAGCAGCAGATTTTATTTAATTATGCAGGAATTTTTGGCGCGGGCTTCGTCTCAGAGTCGCCACGATAAATTCTGCGAATTTGACAGAATGTTTATTTTTTCAAGAGTTTTTTCTGATATGACAGACTAATATCATAAATTCACTACCATATGTACATTAGAGTTGTTTCGTTTAGTTCAGACCAAGTTCGATTGAACGGGTCATTAAAATGAACTACTGAACTTATTCAGTGATAAGTGAACTAAATCGGTCATTTAGTTCACTCGTTCAGCTATTCAGTCGGTCATGAACGATATATTCTGTACTCGTTCAGCCGTTCCTGAACGATACATTCTTGATACTCGTTCAGTCGGTCATGAACGATGTAACTCAGCAGCTCGGCAGTTCAGTCGTTCCTGAACGATACATTCTTTTGAGATCAGTTCAGTTCTTAATAAACATAAACGATAGCGGGATTTTAATTTCACTTTTGATTTGACTGCATAGCTGAACTAAGCGAATAGTTCATGACCGACTGAATAGCTGAGCAGAATTCATCGTTCATGAACGACCGATTTAGTTCACGGCCAGAAAATGAACGAGTGAACTTATTCAGCAAATTGAACTAGAAATCCGCACTCTAATGTCCACATATCCAATGGGAAAAGTGTTTGTCTTCTCGATTAACCAGATCCATTACTAGATCACACCTTTGACTTTGTGATTTGAAATTGAAATTGAAATTGAAGCAAGCAACCGAATTTGATATCAGTTTAAACGTACGTTCATTTAGAACACAGGCACAGTTTTTTAAATATTTAACATTTTGTAGTAAATAGTGAAAATTTATTGTTAACAATTATGGCAAATCAACCACTTAACATTGTCATTAAGCAGCTGGTTCAATGCCTGAAGAGATGCAACGAGCCGGTCTCAGTCGATGGACTACTCAGGTTCTCCAACATTACCGTCAAGGATCCACACGCCTTTAAGAAAAAGCTCCGGGTGCTGTTGGGCATCGCGGTGCGGCTCGGACTTGTCGAGGAGTACAACAACCACTTCTATGCATCGACCCATGCGGAGGATATACTGCCGCATCTAACCGAGGATACGGGCAGCGACATTTCCATTATCAGCTCGGAGGAGACGTTCGAAGAGGCGGCTGGCCTGTTGGCCCTGGACAGTGAACTGGGCCTGGAGCCAGATCCGAGCGAGAGCGAGCAGGACGACGAAGCTGTTAACGATAAGGAGAATGCCTGATGATCCCACATTCAAAATGCTATTTTATTATCAAATACAAAATACGAAAAGCACACATACAAAAACATAAAAGGGACTCGATTGCATTCTCAAAAAAAAAAAACGTGTAAGTCCACAATCTCGAACAATTGCTCTGCAGTTGATCAGTCGATGAAATTTGAGACAATTTGATCATTTATTTTGTACACAGTGGCTCTGACTTTGGCCCGGGGGATGAGCCGTGCGAGGGAGGAGAGTCTTTTAGAAGCTCTGAGAAGAATTGGGGATGACAAAGGAATGCGCATTTCAGCTAAATTTACTGTAAAGTAATAAAAAAAGAATAAATAAACAATTACATTTTAAGTACACAATATAAGGGCTGTATTATTATCAATTATTACAATATTACAAAAAGTTCATTTAAGCGCGTCTGTGCTGGTTAGGTTAATTTATGCGAATGATTTTATTCAAAATTAAGGGCGTATGCTTAGCCTGTGGATACATTACTGTTATTATGGTGTTATTGGTTAACAGCTACAAAGAGAGGGAGAGAGCAAGAGAGAGCGCTCTCTCGAAGCGGTTAAAATGCAAGATCAGCGGTTATCCGTGGTCAACGGTCTTACGCTGTCTTGGAATGCCAAAGCGGCATCATATTACTTGCATGTATGTGCGCAGCTCTGTATGTATGTATGTGCATGTGTAAATACATACATATATACGATTATATTTATGCTATGCGCTGCGGTCTTTTATACATATGTATTTGTGTTACAAGTTGAATTATGTATTATATGTATGAAATACTGGGCAATTGAAATTCTTTGTTTTGGCCAGCGGGGTCCAAGTTCCAGTTGTCTTCGTTTTCGGTTTCGGGTTAAACCCAAAAGCATCAATCCCGCCGGACAGTCGCCTCTCTAATAACCATGCTCGAACTAGTCCGAAATGCCGGCGACTTTCAGACGCCGTCGACTTTCACGAACCGGGCCGAGTTTGAATTTAAAATGAATGACGTGAATGAAGAGAAATACATACATATGTACATATGCACATACATGAACAATGTCTACACATCGCAGCTAGGTAAACAATTTAGCAAAACGAAAACAACAAATTTAATTGGGCGAATTTGTCATCTAAATAGAGCTTGACAAAAACCAAAACATTTCAAATACAAGGCTAAGGCCAGAGAACCCAGATTAGCCCAGATCTTGCTAGTCTTAGGAATTCCCATTTCGTTTGTTTTCAAATTCCATTTTATTTGTGATTATGACCAAATTTGCATGGCAAATTCGCTACACGGCGCAGTTTGTACTTATTGTCTACCTCATCTATTCACATATAATACCATATATAAGAAAAGATTATCTGATATAAATATACAACAATTTAAACACTTTCAACAGTTAATTCAACTCTCAGATTGAGTTTCAATACGTCATCGAATGGCTTAATGATAAGAATATTGATAACTACACAAACATATGCCTGTAAAATGAAGGAGAAGGATATATACATATAAGATTAAAACTAACGACTACTCACATCCATTAACAAGAGGTTTCAGTCGGGAGCTCCCGACTAGGGGATACCCGCAACCTGGGCATACCCATGCCATGCGGCAGAAAGTATTAGGCAAGCTATAACTACCTTTCTAAGGACACATCATCTTTAAATGTTAAAAACTGTGTGATTGCTACAATTTTAAAATTATAATTTAAAGTTGCCGCTTACCTTCGCTGCTGTATCAGCTGTTTGTGGGATTGATACTTTCATATTTATCATAATATCGATAAATCATCGCATAAAACACGAATTATTCGGGGCGAATACCTACATTTTTGGAAAAACGTAAAAATTGTGTTTTCTTATAAGAAAATCTTCAGACCACATTTTTCACACTAGAAAAAATATGTAACATTCGTAATATGTATGAAATGTGGACAGTGAAATTAGGCTATAAAATACAATAAAAGAAAATGTGCATAAAACAGAAAAATATTCCCATAGTCGATGTAATGTAAAAACAATAGCTGTATGTCCCCATTGTTGCATTCTATTCTAACGGTTATACAAAGTTATAGAAATAACCGTTTTAATGACATAATTTTTTATTAAATTTCCATCTGCGTTCAACCGTACAGCTAACAGTTTTGTAGGAGTGTGTAAAATTGCATATATCGATAAGGAAATACAGCGTAAATATATCGATAGTATCGAACATAGCACAACATCGATTGTTTTGCAGGCCACTATGTAATTTTCCGCGGACACGGCATGTTTGTTGCGTGACTTTTTTGTTTGTTAATCTAACGAGCCGGGACCCACGAATTGCAACCACTCAACAGGTGCAATTGTTGTTGTGCTCATGGCCGAAGTCAAGGATTGGCGTCCGTTTGTTTATGGCGGCCTGGCGTCCATAACAGCCGAGTTTGGTAAGTTAATAGCGGCGATGATTTGTGCATTTTGGTTGGTTCCAAAAAAAAAAAAAGAACCTGGTGTAAACAAACATTGGTCTGATGCGCATGCACATGTCTATTTATATGCAGGCACATTTCCAATCGACACAACCAAGACCCGTCTGCAAATTCAAGGACAGAAAATCGATCAAACCTTTTCGCAATTACGATACCGTGGCATGACAGATGCATTTGTAAAGATCTCAAGGGAGGAGGGACTCAGAGCTTTGTATTCAGGGTAAGACAAGTCGAATGCAGTCGAAGTGACCCAATAACGTGCTAGTTGCACACACTCGTGTGCGTGTGTACAAAACTGTTTTGTGTGCATATTGATAACGAGGGACAGCGCCAAATGTAATATAAATCGTCTCGTGTTATAATCCGTCAAGTTTTCATCGCACGAAATGGCCAGTAAACTTTGGCCCTGCCTGATGATAAGCACAATAGCAACCCCTTAGACTTTGTGTTCATAAACAAATGTGTATTTTTGTATTTTGATAAGTAATTCTTGTTCTTGTGTTGCAGCATTTGGCCAGCGGTGCTGCGACAGGCCACCTATGGAACTATCAAGTTCGGCACCTACTACACGCTTAAGAAGCTGGCCAGCGAACGTGGCCTGCTGACCGACAATGACGGCAGTGAGCGTGTTTGGAGCAACATCATTTGTGCGGCGGGAGCAGGCGCCATTTCATCGGCCATTGCGAATCCCACGGATGTGCTTAAAGTGCGCATGCAGGTGCACGGCAAGGGAACCGATCAACTGGGCCTGCTTGGCTGCTTTAGGGAGATATACAAATATGAGGGCGTGCGCGGACTCTGGCGCGGCGTAGGGCCAACGGCGCAGCGAGCCGTGGTTATTGCATCCGTTGAGCTGCCAGTCTATGACTTTTGCAAGCTGCAGCTAATGAGCGCTTTTGGCGATCAAGTTGCCAACCATTTTGTGTAAGACCCAAACGCAAATATTTCCAATTCTCTAATCTAAAGAATTGTACTAATGTACCCCGCATTTACAGTTCGAGTTTCATTGCCAGCTTGGGCAGCGCTGTTGCCTCGACTCCAATTGATGTGATTCGGGTAAGTAGAGTGAAGTGAAGCGCGTGTAAATCCAAATAATTAAAAATACAAATGATTTTGCCATAGACCCGCCTGATGAATCAGAGGCACGTGACAGTGCTGAACGGTGGCTTAGCCACTGCAGCTGCATCACCAGCGAAACTTTATAGCGGAAGTCTGGACTGTGCTGTGCAAACAATTCGTAACGAAGGCCTCCTTGCGTTGTATAAGGGATTTATACCGACTTGGGTACGCATGGGCCCGTGGAACATCATATTTTTCATCACATACGAGCAGCTGAAGAAATATTAGCATCGCCGAGGATTGAGAGACATCAAGTACAAGATGTATTCAGCATTCAAACCAAAAATATCTTTTTTTAAATAGGAACATATTTGAAATGAAATCAAGTCAGGGAGTAGCCACGAAAGTGCCTGTTGCATGCTGACTATCTAATAGCCAGAATGGACCTCCTTTACGGACGAGTTCATGTAGGGAAAATGTAACAACAATTGAATTAATTAGTATATGGCCGCGGGCATTTAAGGTATTCGCATTTTAATCAAGCTTTATACAACCTCTAGTCTTTAAAATGCTATTCAGTTTCTTATGAAATTTCTTGTATTTCCTGTTCTCAGCTCTATGTTTGTAGATCGCATTTGGCCGAACGCATTTAGGAACTTATATTGTAATCTTAAGGAAAACTGTGACAAACACTAGTTTAATTTAGCTCTTGCAAGTTTAGTTTGAAATTATATTTTAACACTCATTTCATTTATCAAAACAATTTATTGGATTAGTTCGAACTTCACACGAATCTTTGCTGTAAATATGTACATTTAGTTAAATATATATATATTCATATTCGACATACCAAACAACGATATGTTCACGAGAAACAAATAAACAGATCGATCGAAATCTCATAAAAAAGATTTATTTATTAGTTGTTGTAAAAATAACATTTAATTCGAACAAGACAACAAACATTTTAGTTTATACATACATGCATACAATGAATTCATATAACCATATATATATTTATATATATATATATATATATATATATATATATGTATATGTCGGAGTGCGATTATTATTTTTCATTGTATCAAGTTCCAGAGCGCAGCGAGTTTCGATCGGTCGCTAGGCGTCTCAGAAAGCAACTGAACTCAACGTTCTTCCTTTTCCCTTTTTATCTCATCGAACTACACTCGTCGACATTGTCGCCTCGCCCTGACAGTTCTAAGCAAAGCGACAATAATGCATCTAGAACAGTCATTGTGAACTACCAAATGAATAAATACAAACATATCGGCATATAAATACATGCATATTTGCATACATACATATGATGAGAATCGCAAAGAGAGGCACTATATAAATTAGATTTACAAATAAAACATTCAATAGATGTTAACTAGTCTAGAATTAGGTTAAAATATTTTTGTCCCCGTTTCTACGACTCGCCAAATGTATTATTATTCCGACTAACTGTGCGTAATACATTATTATATATACATATATAGGCTTCCATGCGGTTCTTAACCCTGTTTGGATTGTGAAAGTTTTGTGAATAATGCAAATTGATATCCTCCTTAGTCTTAGAGCTGGTGTCCCTGTGAGCAGTGTAATGCGCAGCCGGCTCGAAAGTTCGTACTGCCCCTTCGTTGTTGTTGTTGTCGTTTTCGATAAGGGCATTACTCATATTTATCCGTATTTATAACTTATTATATCGGAAACTACGTGGGCTCCATTATTTAAAAAGTAATGCTCGATGCACATTGTTGTGTCATGGATCTGCAGCAGCAATTGGGGCGGGCTTTAGAGCAACGGGACTCGCGAGGATTCGAAGAGGCCTTAAGTTTAGGCGCCAATCCTAATGAGCACGATGATCGTGGAATAAGCATCTACGAGAAATCGCTGTCTAGCGCCGGTTGTGCAGAATTTATCAGGCTCTGCCTACGGTCCGGATGCAGTGTACTATATGTAAGTGGGAAGGCCTGGGAAACCTTCTTACCTTTAACTCATGAAATGGCCACTTTTAGATGAACCAGCAAAAGCAGAAGGCAGCCATTAACTATGCTGTTGATTCCACAGACAGTGAGCATGTGAAAGTTCTACTGGAGCATCAGGGAGTTCCGGTGAATCACAAATACAATGATCTGACGCCACTAAATGCCTTGGCGAGAAACTTAAGCAGGGAGAATGCCAGCCGGACAATCGAATGTATAAGAGAGCTCCTAATGTACGGAGCCTCGCCCAACATTCCGGACGATAACGACATGACTCCGCTGCACCGTATTCTGCTGAACAGACAGATCGAGCACCAAGAGAAGGAGACAATGGTCAATTTGTTTCTCAACGTAGTTGACATAGACATTGACAGCAGCTGCGATGGGGAAGTGCGGCAGGAGCTGCAGGAACAGATGCCCCATCTGGTGCTGCCCCCAGTACGTGATAAGAGTCGTGATTTGACTTCCGGCAGGAATGAAGATATCCGCGGGCAGCTTCTTCGTGAAGTGCGCAATGACAATGTGGAGCGGTGCCAACAATTGTTGTCCAGGTATCAGGGCAATAAATTTGAGTTTCTTGAGGAATGCAACATATGCAGGAGTCACGCCGTGTTCGACAGCCTTCTACAAACAGACATTGATATTAACGAGAAATCGAAAGTATATGAGAGGACAATTGTTGAGATTGCCATAGCATACGGCAATTTTTATTGTCTCGCCAAGCTGCTGCAGCACGAGAAGCTGCGGCTGTCTCCAAATCTGGAGCTGCTGCATCAGCTCATTGGCAGACTCGATGAGCGATCCGAATATACCAGCTGCGACTATGTGGAGTGCTTTAAGCTGATTCTGGATAGCAGCCAAGTGAACGTCAATGAAGCGGATAAAAGTGGCAGGACACCGCTCCACTATGCTATACTATATAACAATGAGTTCGCCATAAGGGCATTGCTCCACCATGGGGCCTACCTGGGCGCAAAGAGCATGTCCAAGGACATTGCCATACAGGGCATCGGGCCGGAGCTACTGGAGCATCATTTTGATGAGTGCATAAAAGTCAACGAAATGAGTCGGGCCGATAAATATTTTACAATTGTTTTGGACTACACTAATCTAAAGCTGCCAAACGATATGAGATCGAATATAAAGCACTATGAACTGGAGAGTATCGTCGCAATGGGTGAATCAAGGAAGCTTCGTCATTTACTCAATCACCCGCTAATCAGGACATATATTACGGTTATGTGGCAGAACATATCTTTTCTATTTCACTTTTATTTTTTTGCTTCCTTTATATTTAATATTCTCGCAATAGCCAACATATTGGTACATTTTCGTAATAGCATGCAAGATAGTCCTAACGTATTCTTCTTGGTTCTACTCTCTCGGATAGGTATCGGATATTTTGTGGTCTGTGAGCTGATCAATTCGTTTTTGGGTATCGTATTTTGGACGACTGGCCGATTTTTGAATGTTGCACACATCGTGATGTTAGTCGTTAGCGACATTGTGCAAAGTAATCCTCCGACATATAATGCACGTGTTTTTGCGGCATACACAATTCTTTTGATAGGCCTGAGACTAACTAAGCTTCTGGGCTATCTGCCATACTTTTCCCTGTCCACGCACGTACTGATGCTCAAAAGGGTATCCTTAAGCTTTTTAAAGAGCTGCATAACATACTCCATTTTGATCATATCCTTTGGACTATGTTTCTATATACTGAACTTCCATAATTTGTCGGACAAAAATGTCCTTGAAGCCATCTTCAAGACAATTGTTATGTCGACGGGTGAATTTGACGAAAGCAACTTGGATTACCAAAAGAATATCCTCAGTTGTGTGCTCTTCATAGTGTTTGTTATCGGTATTTCGATAGTGCTCATGAATTTATTGGGCGCCTTAGCATTTAACGATACTCAGGTATACCGCAGGAGAGCACTACGATATGTTCCATACTATAACTAATCTTGTTTTTCTTTATAGGCTATAAAATCTCAAGCTGAAGTAAATAGTCTAATTTGCCAGGCTAAACTGCTAAGCTGCTATGAAGTATTTCTCACTAAGCCCTGGCGACGCCTTGAGTCCTTGCGCAAGCTTTTACATCGTTTACTAAGAATCAAAAATACTAGCATACCACAGACGGTCTCCGTGTCCCCGAATAAGGAGGATAATTTCAACGGAACTGGTAATGTCATATCACAAGAGCACAACGCACAAGATATTCCCGCTAATTGTGTGGAAATGAAGCCATTAACTCGATTAAGCAATCCAAAAGATCTGTTCAATTTGCGGTTAAGCTATAAAATGGTTACACCGATGCTTCAGATTATTGATCGCAAAGCAAAAGCTGAGCAAAATTAATGTTAATAATGATATTAAAGATACAAATATTCAATATATTTGATTATCAACTCGTGTTGTCTATTATTTCGTAAGATATTTTTAAATTTATAAATTTCTGTGATGCCAGATCGCCAAATATGTAACGTATGAAAATATTCATTTAATTCGCGATAGATTCAAATATCAACTATCGCAATCTTTCGATGAATTTGAATATGAATTTCTGTAATGCCAGATCGCTATGTATGTATATGCCTACAATTATTCGTTTAATTTGCGATATATTCAAATAAGTGATCGGTTATCGAAATCTTCGATTATAATAGCCTATCGACATATTGCCGTCCTTAGTCAAACTAACGGATTTTATTGGTGAATCCGCTTACTCTGTTAAAGTGTCTTTCACGTAGTACATTTCTGATGGATTTCGTGACTGCTCTATCGACGGGCGCTACCGTTGAAGTTGGTGAGAATACCTAAGTTACCTGAACAAGTAAATAGTTCTAATGCGTTTCAGTATGTGACAATGGAGTATATGTGCAGCTTGATGCGAGCTGTAGCCGCCAATCCAAGCAATTGGTTGGGCAAAGTGTCGCATGGCTTTGTCGGGCAATGCTTCAGAGTGCTGGGCCTGAAGTTCAACATCAGCGTTGAGGCATTCCAGCAAACGTATGACCATCCGTATCGCGAAGATAATCTAAACTACATATTCAATGTTGTGCCGTTTGTACTGAAGAATGTCGACTCGTTTTTGGATCAGTTGCCGACGGCGTTGGTAGCATGTGAACACCTAGCTGCCCAGGATAGACCCAGCTCCTGCTTAGGCAGCGAATTCTATGATTTAGTAAATCCCGTGCTCTGCTACTTGCGCGTGGTTCGCGTCTGGACAATGGTGGTGCTTAGTATAACAGATAAATTGCAGCTGAAAGACAAGGAACTCGACCGTTTTCTATGCGAGCCCCTGGCAAGAATGTCCTTCAGCTTGCTCCGAGGCCTGGCTAAGCTGCTGCCCGACTATGGGCAAAAGTTTGAGCTTCTCAACGATAATTGCCTTAGCCTTGCCGTGCTCGCGCGCTATGGCATATTGTAAGCTCGATTATGGCTCACGATCAGATCTCTCCTACTTAATATAAATATTTTTAACAGCTACGAAGAGACTTGTCAGTTTATACTTACACCCATGCTGGACATGTTTGACGAGCACTTTCAGCTATTTTGTGGGGCTACCAAATCTGCTCTGAACTTCATCTATTGGATTTTTAGATGCGAGGTAAAGGAACATGCTTAATAGATTCCAAAAGATCCAAGTTTTCAAGGCTACTTCAAATGTTTGGCAAAAATATGATACCATCTGTATTTCTTCCCTCAGATGACCAACAAGGACAGCTATATTCAGGCATACCAGTTTCTGGAAACGATGTTGGATAGATTTGAGGCTGGACAGCAGCGCGATCCATCGGGTAACCTGTATTTGCGTCTGTTCACCAATGAGCTGATCACTGACAAATACCTGGCAATTCAATTTGAGATGCTCAAAGTGAAAAACTCGAATCCTTTACTGCGCGCAACGCTCCAATATTTGCAGACGCTGCAGCGGCAAGTTTGATTAATTTGCACTGGTTACCCACATACTAATTGTCTTTATGTTCAGTCACCTGGTCAGCACAGAAATCTTTCCACGTCGCTTTCTGGAGCAAATCTTGTCGATATTGCTTGACGTTTCAAATGCTTCGAATTCGGTTTGCTCTTTGGCCGCAGAGCTATATGTAACATTATCCCAGCGCCAGTATCAGGAACAGGAGCTCCTTGTGCACATCGTGGAAACGTTTATAAAGACGCAGAGTAGCGTACGAAAGTGGCGCAGCTATGAGCAGTTCATGTCTGTTCTGCAGAGCTATCTCAAGAAGCTGATAAATCCCTTTCCGGCTATGCAGCACTTCAAGTTCTATATAAATGTGATCAATGCGGTAGATGTGAGCGATGAGCTAATCCTATTCACTGCCCATGCTGTATGTGCACTGTTTGAGCTTTACACAGTGCATTATTCTGAATTGGAGATACCCCGCCAGCAGGTACACAAGCTACTGCGGCAGTGGCCAAATCTTGTTCAGAGCTCTGCCGAACGGCCAAAAATTCGCGCTGTGATCTATGGGATCTACAGTGCAGTGGACTTTGAAGCCGTGGCACAGCACAAGCCCAACGTGAGTTTGTCATTAATTTAATCACAAGCTTGAAATGAAATTGGTTTTTTTTTGGCAGCTGATTTTTGCATTGGAGAGACACTGCTTGAACATCTTCCTGGACGATGAGACGCTTAGCGAGTCCGAATACTCAATACTCTTCCCGAACATCTGCCGTTCGATAGAGGCGACAGGGAATGAGCATCTATTGGTAACTGCAGCTTTAGCCTTGCAAGACCGATATGCTGAAATTTCTGTGAACTTCATGGTGCACGAGCAGGCTGAAATTCAACCAGAAATTTTGCGGGAATATGGGCAATGCGTACGCTGTCTTTATTCACTGCTCAAACAGAACAAGCTGCGCGGCCACCAGGTGTGCGATATGTACCAAACGCTAGCTATGCAAATGCTGCATATAGTTGTCGCCAACGAGCACTTGGGTAGGTCAATCTAATCTATATCTTTTATCATGCGCTTATCTGCTTCAAATATCCGCACAGCTCTCTATGGCTACGAGTGCTTGGCCTTAATGCTCGTATTGTTGCATCAGGAGCGTGACGAGCTGGAAGATATGCGCGAGCACGTTGCAAGGTCTATGCAGCTGGCTGAGATGTTGCGAGATGTGTGCGTACGCAAACTATGCAACGTTTCACAAAATCTGGCACAGGCCAAATCTCTGTTTTGTGCCATTGTCGTGCTGCAAGTTGGATTGCAGCACAGCCTATCGTTGAACCCGCTCACCTATGATACGTTGTTGACACAACTCTCCGATTCAACGCTTGCCTTGAAGGCATGCGAAAAGCCACTGACCTTAGGCTACGTGCAGGAAATGCACTTGTGCTTTCGTCAGTTACATGAATGTGAGCTAATTGTGTTGCCTACCAATCGCATATGGAAACCGCTGCTGCAGTACAAATTAGTAAGACCAAATAACCGCAGAGACAAAGCATTGTCAATGTAATGAAAGTTGTTTTTCTGCAGCTAACAACAACACCGGATTATATAAGCCCGGAGTTGGAGCAGCTAATAGTTGTGCTTATTAAGCGACATATTGTCACTTACGCTCGTAACCTGTCTGTCATTCAGCTGCACGTTTGCAATGAGCGATCCAATAAGCAGCGCGTGACATCTGCACTGGCTGCCCATATGCGGCTTGTGGATGCACATGCTAGTCCGAAGGACGCGTGGTTGCTGAAATTACACGTATTTAATGCATCTCTGCAGTTATTGGTGAATAGGCTGTCCGTGCGGCGCACAGAACCAGCCGCCAAAAAGCCACGTAATCATCTTTTGCCGCTGCGTCATTTGCAGTCGCTGGTGAATACGCTGCGACTCGAGGAACCCCACTTTATTATTATGTATGCATGTGGCCTGTACATTTCTCTCATATCTTTAATTTAATTGTATTTCCGCACAGCGCTCGACTGCTTAGCAGTCTAAAGGGGAATGCTTTCTCTGATGTCGATACGCAGGAAGTGGACAAGTTTATAAAGCAGATCAGCGCCTACAAATACCGGTGCGAAGATGAGCGCGCCAAGGCCGTAGCTCATGGTGGGCTACGGTCCGGGTTGAAACCTCAGCCGCCGGGTCCTATGACAATGTGGCAGGCAGAAGCATTCAGTTATTTAATAGATAATGCAAAGGAAAACGATTCCTCGCTACAGCAGCTAGAACCGACTAACGACAATTAAACACTAAACTTAATAGATAAGAAGACTTTTAAGAATCATATAATATTCTACATTTTTAAAACTGTGCATTTTATTTGTTTTTAATTTTAAAGTTGCGAGATTTTGATAATAATTTCAGTTGAATTACAAGGCGAACAGAAATGCCCAGCAAGCAGAGAAAAATAGCTTTTACTGTTTATAAATGATGTTGAAATGATCCGATTAGGTAGGTGTCCGCGTCATATACTTCAAGACATGCTCAGCCAGTCGTCAGTAAGAAATAATAATATCAAACAATTTGTTTTCCTGCTTTCAGTGAGATGAGAAATAGGATGTCTTTTAATGCTGAAGCTTGTACAGCTACTTCCCTTGCCGTTGATGCAGTATGTGAAGCGGAACGCTTGGAGCGTAAATCTCTGGTGCTATGGCGGCGGCCATTGAAGACCTTAAAATATAGCATATTGGAGCTGCTTGTAATGCTGCGTAGCCTTGGAGTGCGACTGCTGGATCGACGGTTTTTGGCCAGCTTGCTGATCTTAACAATTGTCTATAAGATGCCGGGACCCCATGCATCCTATATGCAGCTCTGTCGGAAAAATATGGGCTTCACCGTTTACTGGTTGGGTCTGGGTCTGCTGTCCTCGGTGGGCTTTGGAACTGGACTGCACACATTTCTGCTATATTTGGGACCACACATTGCCGGCGTTACATTGGCTGCCTATGAATGTCAGACATTGGACTTTCCAGCGCCGCCCTATCCGGAGCAAAAGATATGCCCAAAGGAGCCATTCATCCATAAATTGCCAAACACATGGGAAATATTGTCGAAGGTGCGAAGCGAAACTATGCTGTGGGGCGTGGGCACCGCCCTGGGTGAGCTGCCACCCTATTTTATGGCCAGGGCAGCACGTCTCTCCGGCAAGAACCTGGATGAAATGCAAGCATCTGCCGGCAATCTGAATCTATTCGATAAAAGCAAACTTCTTGTGGAGCGCGTCGTCTTGCGCATCGGTTTCTTTGGCATCCTCTTGTGTGCCAGCGTACCAAATCCATTGTTCGATCTGGCTGGCGTGGCCTGTGGCCATTTTCTGGTGCCATTCTGGAAGTTCTTTGTGGCCACGCTGATCGGCAAGGCCATTTTCAAGTCGAATATCCAGCAGCTGATCGTGATTGTGGCCTTCAGTGAGGATTTGGTCAGCGTTCTGATTGATGCAATTGGCCAAGTGCCATTGATTGGTGCCAAAATCGAGTCGCCCATCCAAAGCCTCTTAAATTCGACCAAGCAGCGTATGCACCGCAAAGCGAACTCTGATGATCCATTCACTGGCCTCAGCCTGGTGGCGCATCTCTTTCAGCTGCTGGCACTGGTCATTGTTGCCTACTTTGTGGTCTCGATGCTGGGCGGTCTGGCCCAAAGGCGTTGCAAGCGTCTGCAGTTGCAGAAAAGGGAAAAGCTTGCTCAGGAGCGTCAAACTGACAAAGCTGACAATAAGAACTTAGCTGAGACACACAAATCTTCGCCAAAAATTCAAGAAAGTATTCAGGAATTCAAAGACTAATCACGACTCATATACTACCCATATCAAGCCCTAATTATAATTTTGGAATATATAATCTGATGGTACCTGGGTCCCACATCAATGGCAACAATTGGAGTGGCAGTTGCGAGCGGTTCAAATAAAACATTTAAATCAAATTTGTTGTATTATTTATTTTTCAGTATCTCTTTGAAGTTCTGTTTTTAATTTGCATTTCTATTGTTGGTTTTACATTTATTTTTAAGGTAATTCAATGCCATCATATTTAATATCCATTGTACATTTACATTCAACAGCAATTTAACACAAAGCTAAGCATTTACTTAATGCAATCGATTTTTATTTGTAATATTTGAATTGAATTTATTTTTTAATACATTTCATTCGTTTATAAAAAATGAAGCTACAAATTGTGGTTCGATTTCAACAAAGTACACATGACTTTACATGGCGCTAGTCTATGATGTTTTTCGAGGTAGCCGGCGTTGCGCGGCTGTTGAAAAAAAAAAACCATACTTACATGAGAGTACTTTTCCACCAATTTTACATTCGGTATAAAACCCATATGCACACACACTCCTACGACTACAGCTAAATTTCGTCTAACATTTGCACTACAAATTTATATGCATGGCCTCCATATCTGTGAGTACTACTCGTCTATACCCTATTTAGTTTGCTCTGTTGGGTCGCTTAGTTCGGCATATCTCTCTCGGAACATTCCTCATACAAAATGAACCTAATATTATACGGAATGCGTACGATGTACGAGTTCTATTGTATTATTTTTGTTTTTCTTTTTTTTTTTGATATGATGCACATGATGGATGAATACTTAGTATAGATGTTTACAATTTATGGTATGAATATTCAAATAATAATAAACATTTGATTTGTGTACGATAATTGAATTGAATTTCTTAATTGTCAAAACGGTCGTACCATATTGTTGATAGTTATCTATATATATAGATGACAATTAGTACTTATTGGGAGCATTTTATTATAGTTTTAATATCTAAGTACATACATACATATACATACAAACAGACGTAAAGTTTAACTATTTGCGGCAGAGTCTTTTCAATAGAGAGAGAGAGAGAGAGTGAGAGAGAGAGACAGACAGAGAAAAACAGAGTGAGAGAGAGAGAGAGAGAGAGAGAGAGAGAGAGAGATACAGAGAGAGTGTGATAAAGAGAGCTTCGAAAATATATTCAACACATTTGAACATTTACAAATTGAAAATGAAATATTCCCAAACATTTTGGGCTAATTATGGTACTCAGTGGCGATCATCTTTCAGTTTCCTTCAACTGCTCCAATCATAGCTAATTTGTGAAAAGTATTTATGATTTGTCAGGGAAAGATTTTCGCGTTACGCACAATTTTCGCTAATTGGTTTTAATTGTATTTGTTGTATATTTTAGCTACATTCATATACGGACACAATCGTTACGGATATCTCATTCCATTTTTGCCCCATCCAGCATCATTTCGTTTTAAGTATTTTATTTATTTATTTTTTTCGATTTTAATATTCCTGTATGGTATCAATTATTTTCTGCATATAAAACAATTTTTCGATTAATTTTTGCTTGTTTTTTTGTTTTTGTTTTTAAATATTCGTTTTAAATAATTTAGATTAATTTGTTGTTATTTGTTTTTTAGTATTTGTTGCTCTTTATTTAATTTTTCTCGGTTCTTTTCTAAAATTTGACGCCTAATACAATTTGCTTTTATAATTTTTGGTTAAAAATTCACGTTATCATAATATCATTTGCCTATAATTTACGATAAATATTCGTATGAATTGTTTTTTTTTTTTACTTTACTTTTATACTTATGTTAGTTCACCAAAATGTCAGTATAGAAAACTAGAAGAATTACCAAACGATTCTATAAAGCTTTCGAAAAGTTAAGGAAAAATATAAAATATCTAGCATTCAAATTCTTGAGTAATTGAAAAATTGAAAATTATACAAAGGCGGCAAAATCAATCCCTTTGAGAGAAAATATATTTTCGTATAATACATATACATATATCATATATGGCTATAAGATCTTCTAGGTTTTTGTATCTTTTGTTTTTTTTTGTGTATTATTATTTATTGCAGCTAGCTTTTATAATTTATGTCCAAAGAAACGCCTAGACAAGTTGGTTATTATTATTTGCATCTGTATGTAGGTACGTTAATTGTATTTAAAATAACAAAGAGGAAGAGTTAATAAACATTTGTTTTTGTTCTCTCTCGCTTTTCCAACACAAAAGTATTCAACTGTTTTATGGAAGTATTCTGAAAGACGAATCGTAAGCAGCTGGCTGTGTCTGTGTTTTGTTGACTTTTTTGTTGTAATTTGTAATATTATTGTTTTTCATGAATATTCAACATTAATATGTACTTTTAAAAAATATTAACGGCGGGAAGTACTACAATCGTTTCGAAGCATTTTATTTATTGATTTGCGTTTATTTAATTTCGTTTATTTAGTTAGTTAATATCAATCGTATTTGTTCGACTCGTAGCAAAATGTTTATTTTTATTATATTACTTTTTGTATTTTTTTTTTTTTATTTTTTACATTTGGTTGATTGTAGAAAAATGTATGCGGACTTCATATTTTTTTTTTCAGTGTATCTGACCTCAAAAATGTATTTTGTGTCGCTTTTTTTCTTCAGTTAAATGTTTCATCAAAAAGAGCAAAATTGTGTGTGTTTTTTGTTTGTATTGTCCTTTAATGTCTCAAAAATTTGTCATTTAGCAATGTTTGTGGTTCCTTGTTTTTGTTTTTTTTTTTAAAGGGATCCTGAAGTCCGTTTATGTTGATGTTGCGCACAATATTGGGATCTGTTGTATATGTTTGTAAATGCTTTATGCCGAGGCATGCAGACAATGACAATGAAGTGTGAGAATCGAATTGCTGAAGATTTGTTTACCTTTACTGTTTAAATATTGTCTACTAATTATTTACATCCCTTGTTCATGTTGTTCTTGTGTCCATATTATTATAAGTATTTCGAATGCAGCTGAATCTGCTTTACTCGAATTCAATATCGGCTTCAGTTTTATATATATTCGCATTAGTTTGCACTGAAAGTATTATGTTTATGTTCTTATTAATGGTTATAGTTTAGCGTTTTCATATTGAGCTTTAATACTTTCAACGGTCTTCAAAATTCTTCTTTTTTTTTTTTTAAATGCCATCGATTGTTTCTTCATTGCTGATGCTTACTCACGGTTCGGTTGGAATTGACATAAGAACCAAAAAGAAAACGAGTCAAAAATAAAACAAATTATAATTGGAATATGGAGAAAGTTATGTTACATAGCAGTGTTATCAAGGAATTGCCAAGGACTCGTGGTGCAGCGGAAGGCTCTTGCTCTTGTCCTTTTAGACTACACATTCGGTTTGCGGTATATCTAGGATCTAAAATATTTGTTATGTCTATTTGATGCCGTTTGCTCGCTTGGTATCGGGTTTAGCTATTCGAGTTAATTATACAAATTAAATGTAATTTAATCATATATATATATATATATATATATATGTTATATATATATAAACTATATACAATTGCATTGGTTATCCGACAAAATTGTGCTTCTTGGGGCACAGCGTTTGCCCAATGCTTGCGAGATTCTGCCTGGGTACGAGTAGAGATCTCTTAAATATACACCCTGCGCGGTGATGTCCACATTTCTTGTTGTTAAATATAAGTCAAACAGTCCTGCAAATAGAATGAAAATTAAATTAAATCGGTAAAACAGGAAAAATGTCTCTATGGGCAGTGCCTGACTTGGGCATACCCTGAATCTTCTTCCCCCAAAGGGATATATTGAAGCATTCATGAAAACATATTTGGCGATAGCTTTGAGTTTCAAGATAGTTGATCTGTGTATACTAATTTAGGTGCTACTTCCCAAGCTTGGTGGCATTATAGATTTGCACAATGGGATTTCGATATCGATTTTTATCGATTGCAAGCTATCGATTATTGAAAACAAACTCGCATTGGCAAGTAGGACGAACTACCAGCCATATTGTAATTTTCTAGCTGGGATCGACGCTTCACACATACGGACAAACAAATGGGCGGACAGTTTGACTTGGCTAGATCAACTCGGCTGTTGATGCACAAGAATATATATATACCTTATGGGGTCGGTAATGTTTGCTTCTGCTTGTTACATATGTTTGCAGAAAATCAGTTTTTACCCATTTTGAATGGGTCAGAGCACAAAAAATGAGTTAAACAGAATATTAGCGCTGGTTTGCTTATAATTCGCAACAAGTTAAGGTTTCGAACAAGTTTGAAGTTGGAACCGATAGCTTCTTGAACTGGCTTTACATACGGAAAACATGCTCATTTCTGGGTGTCTTAAGAATATTTGGGAATTGTCATTGGCTACGTACTTCATTTAATGCTCTGCAAATATCCATGAAATCACTTATTTAAGTGCAGATTATTGTGCTCAAAGTCAATTATTTAGTTGGTTTCCTTCTTCATTTCTATATCTTTCACATGTGTATCACTGAACCGGAACCAGTTCAGTAGCTGCTGCTGCTGCTGCTGCCTTAAACGAACCACTCATCTTTTTGAGCAGCGCCGACAGCGGCATTGGCATTCGGATGATTGCCAGCAACGGCGATGTTCGTCTGGCTGTGCCCGGTTGAGTTTTGTGAAAGATCTTGACCTAATTGACGGAATTTGCCAAGCACCAAATGGGACGGACTTTGGTGGCCATCTTCAAGTAATTGTGTGGAATGCGGTGGTACCCGGATGGTCCCGCAGGGTGATGCCAGTTTCCCGACACCGGCGGCAATTGTGTGTGCTCTCTGGTCAGCGTGCCGCCAACGCCCATGCCCATGCCCATGCCGACGCCATGGTAATGCAGATGCTTCGACGAGCCGTTCGTCTCCGCATTGTGATGCACTGCAACAAACGGATCGAGCATTATAATAGTTAAATGGTGAAAGCTGTGCGAGCTATACTTACGCTGCAATGCGGTGTTCTGGTTGGCGGCATTCTCGTCCTGGCGCCGGCACACGCAGATCGCGATGGCCACAATGAGGGCGCTGAGCACTAGCAAAACTCCGACCACGATCAGCACAAACCAGGTCATGTCCACGCCGAACACAGTGCTTGTCGTCTCGTCTGGAATAGAGTTTGCAATTAGCATAAACGTATGATAGGCACCTCTCTCGCAGGCTGGCCACTTACTCTGGCATAGATTCTGCACGGACTCATCGGAGTTGTCGCCACAGTGGTTGACGCCGTCGCACAGCAGATCGGGATTGATGCAGAATTCCCGTGTGGCACACGTGAAGTCCTTGCACGTGTGCTCTGCAAAAGTAAAGAGCACATGTTGTAACAACTAATCGGCCAATCCCTCGTCCACTTACTGGGATCCTTCACGGATGTGATCACCAGCTTGAAACCATTCGCATCTGTTCCCCAGCCATCGGTCACGTACTTCAGCGTTACGAAGTTCGTCCTTGTCAATATCGCATTTACCGTGTTCTTCGTGTTGCGACAGGAGATGTCAATCTGTAAACGAAAGGCATATGATATGTTTGTAATTGTAATTATAATTGTCCTGGCTCTTAGAGATGAGGAGGCAAACAACAGGCACGACTGCAAGCCCCACACAAGGCTCAAACCAAAGCGCCTTGAGGTTGGCTTCGTCAATGATTCTGGGCTGCAACCGGTTTGGCTTAAAGCCGCCACTTTTGCAGCCTTGGTCATATGTATTTTGCTAAAGACCCCACATTATATTTCCCAACTTGACCTATTTTCAACGAGATGCCCGTTGAGCACACTTCTTGGACTTAATTTGCAATTGAATTTGAATATTTGTAATATAGTGTAGAGTTATATTTTTGTTAATACCTTTGGCTTAAGTTGTTTAAGGTTAATTTAGTAATTTGTGCGCCATGATAAAAACCCAAACCCTGTTTACACTCTACGAGATTACGAGAGAAATTATTATTGCCACGGTCCATTAAGGTCGGGCAGAGCTTAAAGGCTCAAGTTCAACCTCAGAGAAATGCTTTTGGTGGACTCCCTCCCTTTGTCTCACGTTCAATTGGCTTTAGTTAACTGCTCAGCTTTAGGAAATCAGGTGCCGCAATGTGGGCGGCTGGTTGAAGGCATCATGGAAGGCAGAAGGCTAATCTGGCGCGTGATGTTCCATCATCATTGCCTTGGAGACTGACCCAAAGCCCCTCGGAGCTGCCCTTGTCCCCAACAAGGGGGGGGACATGTCTCCGCCTGTCAAACAGTTGACTCCACTGGCAGTAGCTGGGGTGTATGGAAGAATCCAGTTACGTGACCTAAGATTGTTGCGTAATCTATGCTAGAGATATCAATAACCGGGTTTAGTTCGAATATGTTTTAGCCCGGAACTGCAATATATTTTTGATTCACTTGAACCTAACCTTGAACCGAATCAAAACAATTTTCTTAGCAGGGGTTTGGTTGAAAATGAAAAACATTGGCCCCCAACCTTTGGATTTATCTAATCATATTTGGTATATTCCAGGGGGGGGGGGGGGGGGGGGGGGGGGAATATCTACGGCTTAAAATCTATTTTTTTAGACTCTACATTTTTGGCACGATGTATTTGATTACTATTATAAATTTCTTTATTTTTATACCCTGAACCTATTAAAAATGGGTATAAGGGTATATTGTATTTGTGCGAAAGCCAAATGTATGTAACAGGCAGAAGGAAGCATCTCCGACCCCATAAAGTATATATATTCTTGATCAACATCAATAGCCGAGTCGATCTAGCCATGTCCGTCTGTCCGTCCGTCCGTCCGTATGTATGAACGCAAGGATCTCAGAACCTATAAGAGCTAGAGACTTGAAATTTTAGATGTAGATGCTCCTAGTTCCTGCGCAGATCGAGTTTGTTTCCGATAATCGATAACTTACTCCGTTTCCAAGCAATCGATAAAAATCGATATCGATATCCTGTTTTTTGGCCAATTTTGGTAAATAACGAGAGCTGGAGTCACCAAACTTGACATATAGCTTCTAAAATAGAATATATATATGCATTTGATGTTGGAAGAAGAGGGTTCAGGGTATCCCCTAGTCGGGAGCTCCCGACTAGAACCTCTTACTTGTTTATGTATTATTTGTATTGTTATTATTATTATTTGTATTATTATTATTATTATTATTATTATTATTATTATTATTATTATTATTATTATTATTATTATTATTATTATTATATTCATATTAATATTACTAATTGTATTATGATTATTATTAATAATAATATGAATGATATAATTTTTTTACTACCAATTTCTAGCTACACATATTTGCTAGAGGCTTTATTGATGCTTTAAATATTGCGTTTCTAAACAAAACTCTTTTTACAACATAATAGAGTATTATTTCTGAGTAATGCTGACTTTAATTTTGTCATATATTCCACGTGAAAAATCTTGGAAACTTGCCACTGTAGCTGGTTAGCGAAAAGCTGGCCATACACTGGCAACGCCCTTGCCCCATCATCAACACCGATGCTGCAAAGTGCACAACGATGAGGACGGATGATGGGGACGAGACTTCTATGCCACATGCCACATGCCACGTGCCACGTGCCACGCTGCGCATCGTTCGCTCTGTGTGAATTTGTAATGTTGCTGTGCAACCTAAAAGTTGCAACGGGGTTCATCAAAGTCCAGGTCGCACGTCCTACACACTCACACACACACACACCCACAGTGTGTGTGCGTCATCGTTGAAGCCTTTGCTGCGGTTGCTTTTCTTGACACAACGTCCTGGGTTTTTGGGCGCAGCAACTACAGAGATCCTGGACTGCAGCTGCTGTTGGGCTCGGCATCTTCGACGTGCGGCATTTTGTGGCATACTTGAATTTTGTAGCAGCCCCAAAAACGGAAACTTTCCACTACATTTTGTGCGTCCTTCTTGGCTGCACACCCGCTCACCCCTCTGCTTTGAATGCGCCTTACACACACACACACACACACACACAGAGAGAAACTCACACCAGCAGAGAGTGTGGCCAAATTTTAATTTTGCATTTTGAAGGCAGTGACAACTTCTTTTGGCCGAAAGTATTTACAAGTCGAGACACTCGACTCTCAACTCTCAAATGTTATTGGTTTTTGGGGCTTCGGTTCGGCTTGGCTTACTTTGGGCTGGCTGGCATGCAAATGAGTCCAAGTCGCCGGGAAATTCATAAATCTGACAGTACAAAGATATCTTAGATGGAGGCAGGCAAAAAGATGCGAAGATGCGCAAAGCTTCTTAGGCCACAGGCAACCGACTCAGACTCACCTCAGACTCAGACGAAAAAAATAGCAGAGCCAGGTTGGGCTACTGGGTTCACAGCAGTTGTAAGTCTGTTGCAAAACAAGCCACTTGGCAAATATTTAGGCGAGCGCTCTTAAGTTATGAGTCGACAAAAAACAAAGCATAAAAAACGAACAACGAACAACAAAAAGGGCTGCAAGATGTCGAGAAATCTCAATACAAGAAGAAAATAATCGGCTTTCAGCTTAGAAGACATTTTCTATTAAGTACTATCAAAGTTCTTTGTGTGTTTTGGCTTTTGGAATATTTGATTAAATATTTAATATGTTAACAAAATGTATATTATTGATCGGAACCAACTAAACGAATTGAGTTAAGGACAATTCAGTTGTCAATTTCATACCTTATAATTGTGGAAAATAGGTGGAAACGAGTTTATTACATATTTAACCTCCCCTAGTTTGGAAGCCCTCTTCTAAGTATTTAGTATTATCAAAATTCGTTTTGTGTTTTGGGTCTTAGAATGTTTAATATGCTAACTAAATATATGTTATAGATTTAATTTTAATTTAACTACAGAGACTAGGATTCGAATTAACGACATTTTTGCTGTCAATTCCATGGTCATCGGGGTTTTGAAAATTTCACACACAATTGAGGAAATATTATGGCAAACAGCTTCGACAGCAAAGATCTTAGTGCAATTCATTTGGGACTCCTGTGTGGAAAGTGAGGCTCAAGTTGTCAAGGTGTCATCTGAGACGTGGTGCTTAGGAGTATATTTTAACTTCTCTCGATTGGAAAATGAATGGATAAGTAATGTTGACGATTTGTAGCTAGTATATAATAGGTACGGATTTTCTAATGCAAGTTATTATATATTTAAGAGAATGCCCCCGGCGCTTGTGTGTAAAATAAGTGATCGTAACACGAACCCCTCGGCTGGCAAACAACCTGTGCCCAGGTATCAGCAGATACATTGATTGGCACTTTGTCTTAACTGTTCGCATGGACTTGACTTTTCGTAATTAGAAGCTCAAACTGGCATCGATTTTGTCATAAACTTTGACTCGTTAAGTTTTTATGGAGCATTCAGGCCGACACAGCAATTATGTTGAAGCATTTCAGCTGAAGGCGGGAATATATATAGATGTAAGAAGTGGGCCGCAGGGCTGATACCCTGTACTTGAAGGGGCTTATCTAAGATCAAGTTACAGGGCATGTTGTAGTCCATTTAAGGCGACGGCAGCTTGTTTGGCAGCTGCATTTTTGTGTGGTTTCGCTGGGATTTTAAGAATTTAGCTTATGCTTATGTGCTGTCACTTGCCTTGGCTTACATTTGGACGCACATAGAGACACTGCCACGCCCACGAGCACACAGTCAGCGCAACAAAATAATATATGTGCGGGCGGCGCAGGCAACGGGGCGTATGAAAAATGAAAATTGTTGCTGATAAAATCACAGCGCGCTATCAGCACACTCAGCCGGCTGTTGGCAGCTGCCAGTTGGCGTCGCATTGCTGCAACCGCAGTGGTGCAACCCATTCGACCTCGTCCACACATCCACCACCCTATGCCCATCCTACACCACCTACCGCCTACCGCCCAGCAGGCGACAGACAGACCGATCGACCGACATTCTTAGCCGTTGTCGTCATTGCAAATGTTGCTGCGACTAAAAATTATGCCCACATTTGCAGTCTGTGTGTGTGTGTGTGTGTGTTTGTGCGAGTGTGTGGCACTGAGGAAACCCCGCAAGGATTGAACCTAAAACGTCAGAGGCATCAACGTGCTCCGATTGTGCATCTGGATCATGAGGCTGCGACACAAATTGCAATGGCTTTGCTTTTGTCTTTGTCATAGTCTTTGCCTGCCCCGACTTCGACTCGGATTGATTGGCCTTAACTTTGGCTATGAAAAATAATCGTATAGGGCCATATAAATATTTGGTAATATAAAGATAACTAAGACCCGCCGAAGACCTGATACCCTTGTAAGGCTGCGCAGACATGTAAGGAGTATATCTTGTATAACTTAAAAGTATATAAACTAGACTATGCTATTTAAAGGACCTATTCAGTTGTCTACAAGCTGAATGTAATAGTGCATTTTCTCACCTTGGGCGTCGATACGGCATGGGCTCCATCATAGACGAGCAGATGATCATTGCAGTCCAGCTGGAGCATGTCGAAGCGCAGCATGAAGCGCTGCAGTATCGAGTGCGTCTGAAAGGTGATGACACAGTCCAGGTTGCGTTCGTTCTGGGACCACAGGACAGCGCCATCAATTTTGCGGTAAAGCTGCTGTAGAAAGTGATTCTTGCACAGCGATTGCATATAATCTGCAAAGAGACAGGCCGATAAAAAGATAGTTGAGATTAGAGAAACTCTTAAATGATAGAGCAAACTTTTAACTTTGTTCAAATTGCTTAATAATTTAACAATTTTGTGGCGAATACTTTGCACACTTTTAAGAGTAACCAGCACCGGATGCCACGTCCTGCTCCAACTTCTAAACATCCTCAAACTTAATGGTTACGATTTCCACAGCGGTCGCCGCCCGGCAGCCTCACGTGCGTTGCGCCGGAAAATGTGCACTTAAATTTTAATGGGAGAGTGAAAAATTCATTTACGCTTCGTTTCACGTATTTCTGGCACATGTTTCCAGTCATTCACTTAAGCATTGCTGGCAATGTGCATGTATATGGCACATGAATGTGTGTAAAGTACATTTAATATATTGAAACCAAAGAAAAACTATTCATACTAATTCACTCTGCAGATCAGAGCTTTTCAATGAATCTAAGTAGCATAATGTAAGAACTTTTACCAAAGCAGAGTCAGCATTAAAATCGCATAAAACATTAAGTTTTTCTTATCAGACTGCAATATGTAATATCTCATGCTTTTTGTATATTCTCCCGTTGTTATATGGAAACAAAAATAGAGTAGTTTGCGCTCCGACTCATTTAACAGTCTATAAAATTGAGCTAACGAAGGGGCACAGCTGGCAACGAAAATATAAATTGCATTATTTAAATGACTTTCAATTAGTGTTTATAATCAAAACTATTGCGCTTAAGTGCGAAATCCATTAAGATGAAATGAACGCCATTATCAAGAGCGACGGACGGTGGCCATTGGCGGTGCATGCAAATGAAGTCGGAAGCGGGACAAAATGTTCGCATAAAAGCCAAAAGCGTGCACGGACCAACTGGCGATATTCGAGATTTTAATGAAACATACTCGCATACACACACACAGAGTGTGCGTGTGCGGTTTGGAGGGGCGTGACGGGGCTTACGTGCGCCTGATTTCAGGCAATTTCCTGCTTAGCAACCGCTTCCGCTTTCGCCGTCGCACTAATTCAATTTCGCTTCAATAAGGCGACGCGGCGAAAGGCGAAGGAGCAGCTGAAAAGATGTCGACGCAGCAGGGCACAGGAGTGAGCACGAGCACACGAGGGGGAGTGACAGGGTGTCAAAGAATTTGGTGCAAATTCGTTTTACGCCTTTGCCACACACATACATACATAAGCACGCAAATGCAGGCAAAAGCAGACCGCGCGTGAATGTGTTGAGTGCGAGTGAGAGAGAGAGAGAGAGAGCAACTCGCATGGCGTTGCCACACGTTCTGTAAATGCTTCATTTGAAAGCAGAAATGTTGGCGTTGCCATTGCTGGCCGTCGCGTTGCCAACTTCAAAATTGAATTCACAATTGAATTCAATTGCCGGCAATAGCGGGCCTTTTGTTTTAGACCATCTCTTTCACATACGCCCGGTTTCACACACACACACACACAAGCACCAGAGCCATCGTCCAGGTGCGCCCGGGCACAGACAGCTTTGCGTGCTTTATATGTAATTGGCAATTTTGTTACACATTTCGCTTTGATCTTCGCCGCCGTCGTCGTCGTCGTCGTCACCACCGCCAGGTGAACAGCAGCAGCAGCTGAATTGGGGGCGGGTTCAAGTGGGCGGATGCACAAATTTGCCGCAAGGCATTTGCCAAATAATTCACGATTTGCCCCTAACGAAATGAAACTTTTCGTTGCGGTTCGTTGGTTTTTTATATACCATTCCAACCTGCCCACCTGCCTAGCCCCCCGCCTTCCTGCCTTTCACTGCCCTAACCCAAGATTGATTACAGTTTCAGTTTTGATCGAGTTGATGATGTGCCCGGAAGTTTCTTTTGTGAATATTTGGAATAATTTAACACAGAATATACATGCATGATCCATTAAATTAAGTTAAATATATATATATCTGTATCTTTGTTATAGAACAAGCGTTCAGATACTTTCAGCTAGCACTGTCTGCCCTGACAAATACGCTGCAAAAGGAAAGAGTTAATGCAGGAGCTCGGAGACAGTGAGAAATAGAATTTCTGCACAATTTGACACGGGATCTCAAACTGGCTGAGGACACATGCCGCCTGAAGGAGTTAGTTGCCAGCCAGGACAATTGTAAAATATCAATTACGGATGAAAGCAAAGTGCTCAACACACACACACACACACACACACACATATATTTGCATGTCGCCAGGGCAACAGTAGCGAAATCCTTCAATCATTTCTAGGCAGGCTGCACAGGCATGCAGTGTAGTGTAAAGTGGATTGGGATTGGGATTGCCTTCTCCAGCATATCTACATAATATCGGGCTTACTCATATTGCGCAGCTGTGCCCCAGCCGACGCCGCTGACATTGGGGATTTCAGATGTGCTACAAACACGACAGCAATCCGTTGCCGTCGAGTCCGCTGGGAAGTGTGCGGAGCGAGCTCATGTGACAACTGAAGCTGGCTAAGAGCTAAGGATAAGCAGCGTCAGATACATTTTCTATAAATTCCGGCCAGAAAACAATTTCATTTGCAGCTGCCAGCAAAACTGCAGCGCCCCTCCCGGTTCAACTCGCTGCCTGCCCGAGCTACCCCAGCAGCCCTCGGATCTTCTTGCCGCAATCTCTATTTATGTGCTTGGATGGGGCTTAGCTATTAAAAGTAAGAGAATATATTTTGGTTAATGTTCTATTTCTGTGTGTAATATGAACCATAAAAGGTAAAAAGCAACTGTTAAGTACAGTGTATGCTCGCTAATAAGTGCACGAATTTGCAAACAAACCAAACTTATGTCAGCTATAAAATGATTGAACTAACTTTAAGTCTTAAATTTAAGGTTTTTAACAGTCCAATTTCATGGAGATTTTATCGAAGTTACAGTACTTACACGGTTTTGTAGATAGGTAGGAAGAACCGTGAAGCTCGTAGTTGCGGGATTTGATAAAAGGATTATTATTTTTATAAGTAATATTTTTATAGAACTTTATATAATTAATGGTCCGATTAACTGTTGTTCATACGTGAGGAGCGTGGAAAATGTCACGTTTAGTCCGAGCTTTCTTTAAAACACAAAAAGTTAATAAGTTTGTTATTTTTTTATTTTCGACCCATTGTTCCAATGCCAGCTTTATGATATAGTATATCGATCCAGTCTGCAACAGAAAGGCAGATGAACCTGACTACATCGATTAATATTTCGCTGTAAATCCAATTTCCTCGATGCGAAGAGCACATTTTCTTACAAAATTATCATAGCCTGACAATAGTATGAAAAACATTGCCAAGCATGAGATTAAGATTTATGACGTGAAAAAAACTAGTTTGTATTTTGAAGCGAACGACAAGGAACTCGCGTCGAGAGGCTCATAGTTTTACGATTTTGGATTGCATTGGATTGACTGGACTGCTCCCACTCCTGGAGCCACAAATCCTGTTGTGGTTGTTGGTCATTTGGCAACGGCCTCTGTCGAGTCCACGCCCAAATGGGCAACAAATCCAAGGCCAAATTATGGCTCAGGGTCTTAGTTGCCCAATTTGCCCCACGCACCCACAGACCAAGATTTTCATTTCTTGTTGGCTTTTTATTTGTCGCTGTTCTTGATGTTGTTGTTGTTGTTTTTGTTTTTGGAGTATTAAGTGCTCAGCTTGCACAAAGTGAGTTCAAGCTTTGGTTTGGGCCAGTCGCCCACGTAGAAGGTTTCTCGGTTCGGCTCGGCTCGGCTCGGTTCGGTTCGTTTAACGGCCAGATTAGTTAGTCGCAATGTTATTTGTTAGCGTAAAAGCACTGCCAAAAAGGATTAAAATTAGCATAATTAATTTCAAGGACTTAGTCCTTACAAGGCTTTATGCCGTTGTTATTAATCGAAAGCGCCTCGACAGACCGCACTGCGTACTGAAGCCACAGATTTCAAGCTTCGATTGAAATTCTTATTCAAATTGTTAGGGCAGAAAAAAGGGAGCACGAATCGATTTAATGCGAGAGTAGGAGCAGCTTATTAAGTTGACGAGAGATACGGAAGCCGAAGCGACGTAGCTGGGAGGTTATGGCAAAAAGTGGAAGTCGAGTCGTAGAAGAACAATTAATCAAGAAAAGTTTGAATCGATTGAAATTTTTGCTGAAATTGTTATAAAGACAAGAGCATTAATCGATTTTGTTTGAGAGTAACAGAAGCTTTTTATGTGGAGAAAGAGGAGGTATGAGAAATGTCGATTAGTAAAGGAAATTTCAACAAGGGTGGTTTAAAGTTAGTATAAAGAGAGAAGCGTAGTGCAGTTCGAGAAGAAAGAAGCGGTGGAAGAATTAAATGTTGGTTGAACTTTGCATAATAGAGCATAAAAGCCAAGTTGTAAAAGAAAAGTCGACAAGGGTAATAAGACAGTTCCTAATAATAAACTTATTCCTAAACACGTTTGAGAAGAAAGAAGCGGTAGTAGCGGTTGATATTGCATAAGAAAAAGCAAAAGTCGAGTACTAAGGGAAAAATCACCAAGAGTTATTTTTTAATTTAAAGAAAGAAGCGTAGTGCAGAGAGAATAATGATCATTGTTCATAATAATAATAATAATAATAATAATAATAATAATAATAATAATAATAATAATAATAATAATAATAATAATAATAATAATAATATTAATAATAAACTAATAGTGATAATAATAATTCGAGAATTGCAAAACCGGATAAAATATAAATAAATTTAATGAACAGATGCAATGGGTGCGATGTAACATTATTGTCCACGCCCTTTTGGAGGCGTGTCCATATTTACAGAACATTTGCTGCGAGCATCTCAGCAGCTGTGTCAGCTAAACTTCAGCGAGGCACTCGAAGGGCGGACGACCACATCATATTGCCAGGACCGCAGAGCTAATAACGAGCAAAATGATTCTGGAGCGCAGTAAAAACCGCGAAAGATGGCCACACACTGATGGGCTATTCGATGGTTTAATGCTTCCGGCCAAGAATGGCGCTGCACTGCGCCGGAAGTACTTGCTGGC